AACAAAAAAAACAAAAAAAAAAACCAAGATTCCGTATGATTCTGCTGCATGTTGCCCCGGCTCAGCTGTAATTGCCGCCCGCCCGCCAACCCGCCCGCCCCGCTATGGAGTGGCACGGTGTGGTTCGTGTTGCACCCGCGCTGTTATGTCTTCACACCGAGATGCGTCTAGGGTTGTTGATGCTTCTGCAAGAGGGGTTTGTCTGGTTGCATCTCTGCTTGCAGGTTGTGCAGGAAACATTGGTGGTTTCGGCCTGCCGTGGAAGGGAGCGCAATGGGACCCAGGAAGTGTTGGTTCGCCGCTGAGGGTGATGCTCGACATATTATCGGGGTGGTGCCAGGTGCTGACGGCAGTCCTTGCTCCAGCCAATGCCATGCTGCCCCCGTTGCCGCTTGCATGCTCAACCGTCAGTTGCAAAGTGAAACGAAATTCCCCAGTTGCTATGCTGTGTTCGGCCCAAAGATGCACGGCGTGAATTTTTTTGGATCGGCCTACGTCGAAGCAACGCTCGATGGAGCTTTTGGACAGCGTTTTGCACACACGGCGTGTGCCAAAAATCGGCAACGCCCCGGCAGAGGCCAACAATATGCGGGCGCGACATACATGAAAACACCAAAGAATGACATTACAAGCCTTGAAATCAGCGGCACGCAACACCTCCCCAAACCATGGGCATCCGACAACGTCAGGGCAAATTCGCAACTCCGGCGCGTTTCCTTCATGAATTTCGTGAGCCCAGAGAAAATCCTTGCAGGTCCCCGTCCTGCTTTCCGCAAATGAACGGAAACGTCTCACAAACGAAAGCTTGGCATGAAAGATCACACATATGGGCATGTGGTTGCCGGACTGCGCCACGTGTGGTCGGGCAATCCATCATGGCAAATGGCTCATGTTCACGGCAAGTAGCATTATTTAGCTCATTGGCAAGGTAGCAGCCCAGCTTCGGTGTGTTCGTGAAAACACCGTCTTCAGGGTCGTAATTTTTTGAGAACGGTGGCCGAACGCGGCACCGTCGCAAATATGTAAAGGCTGAAAGACCTGGATTCCCCAGGCGCTTAGATTTTTGTAGTTGTTTCAATTTGCTTTTCGAGGATGTACAGTCTTGTAACGAACGTGGTGATTTGAGATAAGATTGGAGCCACAATGTCCTGAGCCGGGGGCTCAAGGATTGATGTAGATGAAATGGTCTGAGGCCCAACGCGCATTTACTTTTTTTCGCAGACTTCTTGCGCCTGATCCACAACGCCCCCCTGTACGCCACAGCAAGGGCTAGTGCTTCTGGATTCGCCCTGGGTCACGGATCCTTGAAGTTACTGCAGCAAAAAGCTTTCCTGACACAGGTCTGGCCTTTGGAGTCATGAATCCGAGAGGAGGTTTTGAAGGGGATTTGAAAGGCCGCCTTTTGATGGGGACTCGAAACTTGTGATTTGTTGTAGGGTTTCCAAGTAGCAGAACACATGCCTCTACCATCCTCAAGATCAGCAAGTAGAAAGTAACAAGGTCGGCCTTGTTTGTGCGATAAGGCTTGACACTCTTGTCCCCATCGTTTTGGCAGATGTGAGGCCAACACGATCAACCGATGGATGGTGGGTGACATATACCCGGCCAAGAATGCCCCAATTCACAGTCTAATGCGTGCGGTTTACAGCGGTAGAGCGTTGAAACTGGGTATGACAAAGGAATGTGACATTGGTCGTTGTGACCAAATTGCAACGTGACGCGTTTGCAGCTTTGGCTTATGCACTATTGAGACCCATGATGTTGTTGCCAATGACACGGTGGTGTGAAAGTCCGCGTCTTGGTGTTTGTTGATGTGGGCAGCAGGGTCGGCCCCCTTATGCAAACATTGTGTATGACAAAATCTGCTGAGGCCTTGTTGCCACACGATGGATCATCATTATGGCCCCGAGCAGCATTACGCATTACACGTCGGATGACTGCGCCAAAACATGACACCACATTCGCAAGGTGCTTTTGCGGCCTACGTGCCGCTCTCAGCAAGCTCAGGGTGGGTTGGTCCTTTGCGTTTGTGTGCAGACCATGCGAGTGTGCAAACCATGCCAGTGTGTGATGTTATTTTGTATTCGCAGGCTCAATCAGCAATGAGTGCTGCTCGTTTATTTGAATTTATTTGGAGTCCTGGAATCAACTAAGCGCGAAGCTGCCAGCAAAGGACTGTGGTGGGTGCGTGTACTGGAGATGGATATAATGCATATAGGAAGCGTACGATATGTGGGCTAGTGTGGACATCGACGAAGTACAACTGTATGCAGCCTGTTGATTCCTGGGTCATCATGAGAAAGCCGTCATGGATCAAGAACTTGTTGCCAAATGCCTCATGCCCGACAAGTTCACATGTTAGCCCCTGCTGTAACGCATTGTTTTGTCTGTCAGACTGATGCCCACGCACGCATAGCTTAACATGCATATTCGTGACACCCAAAATATTGGCATATAGCACACCCTGAGCACCATGAACGTCACGAAGAGCAATTTCCTGGAAGTGGCGACAGAGATCGAGCGATTGCTGCCCGATGTTGACTTCGTGGCCATTGATGAAGAAATGACAGGGATTTCATTGCCTGGCCTGCAGGAGTTTGTGGGGGATGCACCAAGCACGCGTTACGCCAAAATGCGGCAAGTTGCGTCCAAATACAATGTCATACAGTTTGGTGTGGCATTGTTCAGCAAGCAAACCGATTCCAGCAAATTCTTGGCACGTGCTTATAATTTCTACGTTTTCCCGGACGCAGGCCCAGTCAACATGGAGGCGAGTTCTGTTCATTTCAACTCCAAAAACGGTATGGATTGGAACGCTTGGATTCGAGAAGGGATTCCGTATCTGACGCGGGAAGCAGAGGCAAAACTCCGCTTGCAACTTTTTCCTGCTGACGCACCTAATGCGCTTTCGAGGAAAATTGAATTGTCCAATGCGGCCGACATAGAAACCACCAGCAACGCCGTAGCGTCGCTGAAGGAGTGGCTGGCCGATGAGACGCGTCGAGATCAGAAGGAATTCGAAATCATCACTACCAATGCATACTTGCGCCGCTTCATGCATGAAACTTTGCGAGAAAGCTTCCCTGACTTGATTGTGGAGTCCCGCCCGACTAAAACCCGGGGGTTGTCAACTATGGTGGCGCTTCGGCTTGCTGAAGCTGAGAAGGCTGAGCGAGATTCAAGAATACGAGCAGAGAAGGAAGCGGAGTTTGGCATGAAGGTAGGTGTGAGGCGAGTGTTCACCTCACTGGCCAAATCCAAGAAGCCGATCATCGGGCATGCTTGCTTGTATGACCTGATGTTTGCCTATTCTCATTTTGAGGGTAGCTTGCCTGAATCTTTTGCAGATTTCAAGAAGGTTGTCGGCGAACTCTTCCCTACTGTGTATGACACACAGCTGCTTGCACGAAGTGACTTCTTCAAGCTCAAACCAAACGCAGGTGGGACAGACGAACGAGATTCTTTGTCATGAGCAGTGGGCAAGGGTGGTTGATAGTGACCCTCGCAGGCGGGGAACCGCAACCGCGCTTCAGGAGCTTCGCTTTGGGAGAGGCGGGGCCCAAGTTGTAAAGATGAATGCAGGCCACATTTCACAAACACAGGGCTCCTAGATGACCCTAAGCGCCACAGGGCTAGCTGATCAGCCCGCAATTGTTCGGGCTAGGACGGGTCGGTCCGTGTTGCTAGGGACCTTTCTTGATCCCTGCTTCCAGCTAAGCTCCCTCAAGACTTTTCTGGTCACGTCCTTTGGGTGCGCAACGCTTAGCTCCAGCAGGCTTTTGAGCAATGGGGTCCGTTGGATCAGCTTGCCTTGAGGTGTACAAAGTCTTGCAGGCGGAGGCGGAGGCTGTAAGGACGGCTGGGGAGGAAGCCGTGGAGGTTAGCTTGGCCGAAGGGCATGACGCTCGTTGATTATCTCCTGTTCGGGGTTGCAAGTTCAGCCAGTTGTTGCTCAAGGGATGGTTGCTCGTTCACTGTGTCCACGAAATGCTTACTTCTCAGCTAATTAGCGGCTGAGGAAAAGTATTCGACAGAGACTGCCTACCACGAGGCCGGCTTTGATGCCTACATTACTGGATGTGTCTTTGCGCAGATGGCCAAGCATATTTTGGCAACCCCGAATGAGAAGACGCTCAGCGGCCGGCTGGTCATGTTCCGGAATTTCTTCAATGTCAACCTCCACGGTGAGGATGAACTGATCACTGACGGTGCTTACTTGCACACCAAGGGATTGACTGGCCGAAATGCCACAGAGTTTACAGATGCCCTCAAGAGCATTCTTAACGGGGTCAAGGAGAAGCGGGCCAGCAAAGATGTGGATATGGTGGGAGAGGAGAAGACCTGTGCTGCAAGCGACCCTTCCTTTCAAATACGTTGGATTGATGATGACTCTGCGTTTGCAATTTTTCCACAGCATTCTGCCGACCTGGTTGCTTCCGTGTGCCAGGAGATGAAGGCCTGCTTGCTCATGAGGGTGGGGCGGTGGTCATGGGCGAGGGGAGAGTTGAGAATGTTGAGAGTTGTGAGGGCAGCTTGGCACTTCCATTTCTCTTGGAGGGTCGTTGTTGAACTCAAAACTCTTGCATCTTGTGTTGGCCGGTCAGGCTGTGGGTGGCCCGGTGGATGGGTTGACCTTCATGGCAGGCGAGGAGTGGTTTCATGCAGAGGCTCAGAAGACGGATTTGGCTGAGCCCTTGCGGAAGAGGGCACGTACCAGTGAGTGATGCTTTGCATTCGGGGCCTTGTTGGGTGTGGTCAGAGCTATTTCCAGGCAGCTCCAGTCTCTTGGGCCAGGAGGTCTGAAGATTGTGCGGGCTTGGGAGTCCTACACCAGTGCGCCCTTTGCGAGATTTTGCGAAGGACGGCCCGGACTGAGTTTAGCTCTACATGCATCTCTCGCATGAGGGCAACGGACAGTTGCGAGTGGCTATTAACTGCAAAATCAATCTTTGGTGCCAGCTCATGTGCGCTTGAGCCCGGTGCCAGCCTTGAAGTGTATGTGATTGATGCTCATTGATGCTCATGGTGCTCGCTGAGGCTCCAATGCGCAAACATGCCAACGAACTCACCATGCTTTGCCGGCTTGTTTTTGCAAGTGCCAGGGGCACGGGTTACTAGCTTCTTCTGCGAGCTCTCATTGTCAAGCCTCAAACTTCAACCCTTCGCCAGGCGGGAAGGCCATCCTCCATGCGATGACGCATGGGTTTGTTCTGGCCTTAGTCACAGGGTCGAGGAGGGACAGGCACAAGGGGAGGGAGCACCTTGCAGCATAAAGAGCCGCGGGAGACACCGCTGAACGCATGTTGACTTCAGATATGTCTTGACGGAATTGCTTCTTGCGTGGTACTCTTGCCTCGAGGCGCAACATCCTGATCATTATATCGGACTTTCTATACACTCCAGCTACACTGCCTTCCAGGCATCGTCGTGGGCACGGCTGAATTGAAATTGAAATATGATGGTCTCTTGTTTTAGTCAGATTTGTACTTGTGTTGGCTGTTGATGATAAATTCTGCAGCAAACGGTGCCTGGGTGGCGAATGGAATGTGCATGTCACTGTGTTGGTGGAGGACTTGAGCCTTTCCGATTGAATGCTATGCAGCAACACTTGTCCCTAACGCTGTTGAGCATGGGAGGCATACTACCACAATGGCTACATGCACGGGTGTCCACGCCCTTGCTTGCCAATGGTGGCGGCCTGATATCCAGGGCGAATGAAGGAACCTTGAAACCCTTCAAATACAATAGACAGTTTGAAGGGCATAGGTGATTCAGCCCAAGGGTTGAAAAGGGCTGCTTTGAACGAGTATGTATGCAAAGCTGACGGATTTCACTTGCAATGGTGCCTGCTGGCCGTGCACACCAAGGAACAAGCCTGTGTGCCCTTCTCGCCCAGCTTTCCTGGCAGCTTTTCTGTCCGAGACTGCTGATGAGTGATTTTCCCGACACTTTGTAACTGTATCTCGGGATAACACCTTGCCAGCTACACAGATGGTGAAATCATTGGAGCTAAGAAATGGTGCCAGATGGTTACATCGCATCATGCGTTTTTTGGAGCCTAGGTATGCTGCACATCAATGAGTGCCGCGGGCAAATGGAAGCGGCCTTGGTTTGGTGCTGGAAGGGCGAAATTACACGGGGCCAGCTCAATGTGCAAAGAATGGCGCTGAGGCTGCGAAGCCAGAACTCTTTCCAGAGTTATCGTCGAAGTCTACAGATGAGGAGGTCGCCAAAGCCCTTTACATGCCCTGGCCCCAGGAGCTTTGGCTTCAAGCATTTCGGCTCTTGACGTAGCTTGGATCAGCAGCCAATCCCCCCATGCTTGTGAAGCGACGCTCGCAAGCACTGCAGCCCACAGGTGCAGGTTCCAAAGTTAGAGATCGCAACTGGAACCTGATGTCCTAGAGCCTGCAGTGCTGGCTCTTTGGAATCTCAGGTCGTAAGCATGAGATGATGCCTTAGTCACGTTCTGTAATTCAAATCGAACTCAATTAGAGTCCTCAGTTGGGATGTCCCACCCTGGCCTGAGAACGACAAAGCCTGTTCTCTCAGGCGTGGGGCTCCCGGCGTACCTCGGGTATGTGAGGACAGAACCGCAGCTCTACACTACATCTCGTCAAATGGTAGTTACCATCATGGAGGATCATTGATAGGATCTCTTTGGATCCCTGGATGCTCGGACAATTAGCAGGCAGCAACGGCCCAGCATGGCTGGGCAAAGAAGTTGTTCTCCTGATGCTGTCAAGGATGCACGGGCCCAGGCTACACAGCGTCAGGGCTTTAATTGCTCAATAGTGGCTGCTCTGAACGAATAGGATTGTGTAATCTCGCGCAAGAGTTTTTGCTGCATGGAAGTTTCCAGGATGATGAGCCGCCGGGACATTATGTTGCATACGAGCAGGTTGGGGTTTCAGCTGCAGTGCTTGGGGCACATGGTTGATTGAATGTTTTGTGAGTTCTTATGTTCGATCAAACCAGATGCCCTGAAAAGTTCGATGGCTCCTGTTGCTATGATGCTCTGGATTCAAAAACACAGCATTGAGAGTAAAAGCGGGTGGGTGAGCAATACCGCCATTGGTGGTTCAAAAGCATCTCTAGGACCCCAGCACCGATCGTGGAGGGAAGTTTGAACAGACGGCTTTCGCATGTTGAGAGGAGCGCCCAGTCTGCATACCTCACCGACAGGCCATGAAAGAGGAAGCGCAATCCGAAGAATCTGGGATCAAGGATGCTGTGGAGGTTGGTCCTGCGGCATATTTCATATGGGTGGCTTCGGATGTGTAGAGGTTTTGAAGCTCGACTTCAAGTCCAGAGTTGTCGTCGTTGGCGTGGTAACATCGTAGGAGCAGTAGCCTGCTGGCAGTTGGGTTTCAACCCATTCCGGCTTGGGCTTGGGCGCCTATGACGCCAAAGCACCACAACTCAAACTAGAGTAGCTGGAGAATTGGCATTGGTGGAAGTAATTCAGCATGAGCTGAGGATTGAGGTAAGCTGGTGGCATGACCAACACTGCATGAGAGAGACTTAGGGCGTGTATAAAGCTACCAAAGCTGAGGATTTCATCAGAACCTGCAATGCCTCAGGAGGACTACATCCGCTTAGAGGAGGAAGCACGGCGAAAGCGGGAGCAAGAGAAAAAGAAAGCTGAGGCTGTTTCGACTCTTCTTCATTTTGGGGCTGCTTCATTTTTGCATTTGCGAGAGTTCGGGTCAACCTTTCAGATGACCCCGGCGAGCAATTAGGAAGCGTGAAAGTTTCTTCTCTGTTGATTGTCGCGAAAACTGGCATCACCACCATCATCAGCGTGAAGCCTAGCTGTAGGGCTGCGCAGTTAGCAAGAAGGTCCAGACAAAAAGGTAGCCTCGATCTGTTACGGCTCCGAATGAAATCCCACTGACAGCAGGAGGAGGCCCGGGAAAGGGAGAAAGCCCGAGAAAGGGAGGCAGAGGAAGCCCGAAAGAAAGCAGAGGACCCTTGATCTTGATTATTCGCGCGGATAAGTTGACCATGTGCATGTTCTTTGAGTTTGCAGTCTGCTTGGCCAGCCTGCTCCACTGCTCATCCATTGTTTCAACTCAACTTCATGAACGTAACCTGAGACATTTGGATGGCATGGAGTGTTGATTGAGTGCACTTCCCAACGCATAAGAGACCTTCTAATCCCAACTCCATGCTTTCAGCATTCAGGAGGCAGCCCGGCACGAGCGGCAAAAAGCTCACAAGAAGGCTCAGGCCCAAGCAGACGATTTGTCGCCTCCCCCTTAATGAGTAAATAGCAACGAGCCTTCCATCAAAATCATAACAACGATTTTTCATTATTGATTGGACGGGGAAGTTAAAAGCATCTGTTTTTCATGAGAAAGGATGTTTTAAGCACATAATCCACCATGTAACTGCACGAGGGAAGACCCTCTGGATGGCACGGCAGAGAGAGAGCGAGAGACCTTCGTGTCTAAACCTGTAGAAGAAGAAGAAGACCTTCGTGTGCCTTCGTGTACATCCAGTACCTGGGACAGCACCATTCGGACCCCAGACAGTATGGACCGCATAGGCTCGGCCCGTTGCGCCTAGCCTGCAGAAGAAGAACCGAAGGTCTGCCCAAAGAACCTTACCTAGCGTCCTTCCGTTTCTCTTGGTAACGCATCAGCTGCAGACTGAACCGTGCTGGGCTTGGGGGTTCGCCAAGCAAGGTGCTCGGACCTTGCATAGCCTATAGAAGAAGAACAGAACCTTATCACTTATCAAAAATAAAAGCTTAGGAAATGGAGGACATCCGTGATGTCATTTAGATATCTGTGCGATTCTGTTACATGAGGTTCTTGATGAGCATGCTATAAAAACAATGAAGCAGTGAACTAAATGAGGTCCCAAATTCTTGTTTCCTCCTTACAATGATCCCCTTACTTACCTCAGAACCCGCCCTCGGATTGGTCTCCCTTAAAAATAGTCTTGGTCAACGCAGTCTTCCGGGATCTTCCCAGGTTTTTTCTAACGAGCTAGGGGGTACGGTGTTGCCCTTGGAGCCGCTTTCTGAAGGGTATTTCATGAAAAGACGAAGTAGAAGAGTGAAATCAAACCACGGCTGCTGCACAACAGCAACAAAAATGTACCACATAAGACGAGTGTCAATCAATATGCTCTGCATGAAATCAAATCTCTAGCAAGAAAAGCAAAAACTAGCAGTCGTTCTGCAAATGAAATTGGCCTAGAGAGCTGCAATGCCCGCTTTTAAACCTACCACTTCAGAGCCTGGTCAGCAGGACGGATTGAGTTGTTATTGTAAAGCTGTAAAACACGTTGGCATCAGCATGGGTTGAAAAGGAAGGGGGATGCGTACAAAAGGTTTGCGAAAAAGGGCAGCTGCGGAACCGTCCCATGCCCCTTCTTGCATGCTGCTTCATTTCATGTGGAACCTCCCAAGTGGTGCCGTGCCACAATCCTCTGGCGCTCGCTGATAAGTGTGTTGGCAAACTCTGAAAGCCATTATGGTGCACAAATTGAAAAACATGCTCAGAAGAGCAATGACGGAATTCGTTGTTTGGAACTTTTTGGGCCAGGCATTCGTCACACTTTGGATTCCTACAGATTGTTTTTGTGAACACTCTTTCTAACTTGTAGAGTTACAAATTTCACCAGAACGGCCCAACTGTGTGCATGCTGAGCCTCCCAAATGCAAATGCGTCCACACGATGCTGGCAGCGAAGGCTGATGAGGCAGTGGGCAGCGATCGTCTCTGATAAGCATGAACAGTCCTATAGGTTCTCTTTGTTGATTTTGGTCGGGATCGGCTGTTGGGTCTCGTGTCCTATTCGGGTTCCCCCCCAATGTGGTCTCCAGCCGAGGCATTCCTCTGCAACCAAAGAACAGTGTTCCCCGAACTTTGTCCTGATCCCATGTGTTCGCTGCCAACCTGCCAACCTACCAAAAGATCCTGGAAGCACGTTCGCAAGCTTTTTTCCAACTCGAGTCAAAATGCTGTCAACAGAGCCGAAGCAGTTTCAGACATTTCGGTTGTCTCCCATCAAGCTGGAACATGCAGAGAGAAAAGGAAGTCAGAAAGAGATACCGCTCGGCCAGGGTAGCCTTCCTCAGCAAAGCCGCGCGGAACATGCGCCCGAGAAGGAGTAGCCTTTAAGGGGCTCTGCAAAGACCGTGTCGCAGCACAAAGCGGGATATGCCAGTGTGAGTCAGTAAAGCCTAGTCGCAATGTACTGCTTCGGGTGGATAGGGGCTGCGTATCATTGTAGTGCGCCTTCTATCTCCACCACCTCATGTGGGATCCAATATGCCAGTGACCCTGAAAAGGAGCCCGCCGGAAAAGCTTCGCACACGAAGACGTCAACATCCAAGACACCTACCGTTGCTTGGATTGCAGGAAATTTGAAGTGGCCACTGCAACATGTTGTAAATCAGGTAGATCCTTAGGCGGCAGGAAATGGGACAGACCCCGTTAGAACCCTGGGGTCCTTGGCCTACTATCGTTGGGAGTCCTTCTTATTGGGGTCTGTCCTGTGTGGGCTCCTGCAGTGAATCTACTTTACACAATGCTTCCACTCTAGTAAAAGTGAGATGTACCGTGTCATTTGTGGTTGGGAAACGCAAGGAGAATACGGGGTATGATGACAACGATGGCGACTCGTACTCGTCCGACACCTTTGGAGATGGTGCCGGTGTTGCTGAAGATGGAGACGATGGTGACTATAGTGCAGATGATGGTTCGGGCACAGGACCGTGGGACAATGGCCCAGCTCAGAGTCCTGGATCATTCCAGAGCACCAATCGAGGGATGCTCGATGAGGCCGGCCAATGCTTGGTTTTAATCTACAGAACTTGCGAGGCAGAAGTATGAAGGCAATATGTAGCCCCTGGGAAGGCAAGAGGCTGCTTCAAGCCCGGAAAGAGCTTTTCCGTGTGGTCGCCTCAGCACCAGCCGAACCTAGCTGTTGAGTTTGCCTTAGTGGGTTCAGCTAGCAACATTGGCCATGGTAGCTGTGCCATTCTTGAAAAATGCTACAGCCCGCAGAAGCCGGAGCATCAGAAGAGTACGGTCAAAGCCCAAGCCCTGACCTCAAACCAATCCAACCCAAAGGTACAATGTCGGTAAAATATCCACTGGCAGCTGAGTCGTTGCTTCTGAGACCTAGATGAGTCCTGCTATCCATCAGTGCTTAGCGGGCTCCCATGAGTTGAACCATTTCCAGGAACCCCACATATTTGCAAACCTGCATTGCTGATCTACAGTAACTTACAGGTCTAAGCTCCAAAGCTGGCAAGTGTCAAGTTGCGTGTAGGCTCGATTCGGAGAGCCACTGGCCTGTCTCCGCGCGCGACAGCGGCGGATGCAAGGCACGGAACCTGATGGAACCAGAAATTCAAAGTTCCTGCCATTGAGGGCTTTAGAGTGGTCAATGTCGAAGCTTGAACAAAGCACTCAGTCCCAACCGCCTCTAACCTTAAGACTGAAGCTGTAAACCTCCAAACCCAACCTTAAAGCCAAGCCCTAAGACCTGGGAACTGAAACCCCAAGCCCCCGAACCCTTAGCTCATCTTAGCTCTAAGATCCCCGACACATCCCAACACTAAACCCTGCATGCCAACCTGGAAAAGCTCAAGCCATGAAGAGCAACCCTCGCAATCAAACCATCAACCCTTGACACCTTAATGCTCTAAACCCACTACTTATTGGGATTTTGGAGTGCCAACACGGCTCACGTCTCACGCCCCTCTAGCCTGCTGGATTGAGAACCCTTCGCTGCGTCGCACCAATCAAGCGGCAAAAACGGAAAGTACCACAAAGCAGTCCCATGTCCAAACTTGTGCCGACCAGCGTGGCACAGTTGGGCTGAAAGGGCGCCGCACAGGGGGGCGGATCAGCGGGCCGGCGGTTTTCACATTGAGGATGCGAGAGTAACAGCAGCCGAAGTCACACAAAAAAGTAGGGTCCAACTATCAGAAGATGGTCGGTTCCAAATCTGCTTTGTGGGTTCCAGACTCCATGTGTCACGGCGTCGAGGTTCACTGCGGGAGCAATGAGGGAGCAGCCTTCTTCGTTTTCCATGACCTCCCGGCATGTGTTGATTGTTCGGAACTGTTGGGTGAAGTGGCATGAAGTCACGCAGCTCGTTGCTTCAGAGTTCGACGGTACTCAGTTGATTGCAGGAATCCTTGTCACATATTTGAGGCTGAAAGGGTTGAGCATGGTGTGCGAGCCAGAAGGCTTTTCTAAGACTTGGTGGGGCTACATGTTATCTCTTTAGGACTTGGAGCTGGCACGAGCTTCAAGCTGAGGGCTTCTCTTGCATTTTGCTTTGCTGACGCTTTGGACTGGAAACCTGATGCATGGACCCTTGTAGCTGCGTGATGATGTCTGCAAACATGTGGGTTATGCAGGGAATGGAAATGATTAGTTAGACTGTTCCTGACGCAGTACCGACTTGCTCAGGTGAGTTCTGGGCTTTGCCACTGCCCACCAGCCACTGCTCGGGCTGTGCAGGTGGGATTTTCGGCATTAGGCTGGCCACCCGCATAGCAGATCTCGCCATGTCCACTGTTGTACTTCGGCGGGTTGAATGAAGCTTACTTGCCCTCTCTTGCCATTAAGACTAGCAAACCTGGAAACTCAGAGCCTCGAACTGTAATAGCCACCCTGCATGCTGTTTCCTTTACCTCCACTTTGCACCCGGGAAAGGTGGGCAGTGACTTCATCGGAGGCAAGCTGGACTGTGAATCCTCCGTGATGACAAGGCCTCGCAATCTGGCAATCCTGATGCATCAGGCTTACATGCAAGAGCTTTCAATTGAATCATTTGCGAAGGGATGATATTTCAGTTCCGCCGCTGGAACGCGGACACCATGCAGGGAGCTGAGCTGCTATGCGGCTGAAAGAAGTAAGTAGCGCCGGGAATGACTTTGCCGGGCTGTCGAAGGACTAGTATGGGCAAGGGTGGGTTTTTAATGCTGAGGTCCAGTTGTTGCGGCTTCTTTTTGAGGAGGTGGCGCTGCACCTGCCGCGGCAGAACAGGGCATGACCAGAAACAAACATGCTTAATTCCAAAAACTAGCATGACCCGCCGCAAGGATAAGAAAGAAGTAGCACAAATGAAACTCAGTTTTGGACCTGAGCAGCCTGCCAGCCTGGCAGAAGCTCGGGAATGGGCTCTTTAGATTCTTGAAGCCTTTGAGGAATAAAGCTTCTGAAGACTTCTTGCAAGACTCTTGTCCCTCCTCGCATTGTTTGCCACTCTGCATGCGTATGCGGGCCCCGACACCAAAATCAAATGTGTCGAGCTCCTGAAGCCGAGAAACTGAATGCTGGGGAAGATTGCCATGGGCCCCCGGAGCTAGGTGGCTTGGGTCGAAATGGGTGAAGTGATCCAAACACCCATTTCGCAGAAACAAGGGTTGACCCGTATGCCTAGGTACTAGGCTGGGGGGACTGGCTTTGTGATGTGGTCCACACATGCACATTGCTGCAAGACTCAGGGCAAAAGCCTTGAGTTTCAGTTGAGGTTGTGGAGGATGCTCAGCCACATTGGTTGATGTAATGTCTTCGCTCAGGTCTCGGTGGCGTTGGTGGTGCATGGCTCAGCAACCAAACGAAGCGCACACCAAGCATTTGTTGGGGCACATGCCCTGCTCACATTAGCCCGCTGGGCGCAGCACGCATCCTTCCATTCGCACAGAAAGTTCATTCGAACCTATGCAGAGGCTTTATACGCACACTTGAAACCATTCTGTCCATCCTGAACGAAGTCCAGAGTGCAAACTGTAAAGAGCTGGTGACGCTCAAGGGTACACGGGTACACCAAGTGCTTGTATAGATGTTTCCTGCGTCGTGCTAATGCTAGTGATGACAAGTGCGGCGCTATTCGCTCTTTGTATATTTTGCTGATGATCAGCTGGTGCTCTGACCATCATGACTGAAAGAAAGGAAGCCAAAGTTTGCTGCTTTGGCTTAGGTTTGTGCCACCTTCACCCTGCTGGCGCTGGCGCTGGCACGCAGACACATTTGTTCTTGTCACAGTCAGGAATTTGTGATGTGCTGCTTTGGAAGCAGATGGTTACATCTTGGCACCTTCTTGTGACTGGTGTGGGCTCAGGGCCGCTCTGGCAAAGAAAGGTTTTTGGTGAAATTATGAGAGAACCCACTGGACGCCGGTAAGGGTGGAAGCCGGCGTCGACTGTTTCATGACTGTGGTGAGAAGCATGAAAGCTGGAGGGACAATTGTTCCATTCATATTCTTGATAGCTGAATATAGGTCCTACTATTTGTAGCGTGAAATCATGAATAGATTTAGATTTGATTCTCAACTAGACCGCGGGGTGAGGCGTCTAGAGGTCGTGGTCACTTGCTTGGACAGCCAAGGGTCTTGTGTGTGACCTGGGCAATGAGAACAAGCGATTCGAAAGAAAAGAGACATAAGCTGTGCGTCGCATTTGTCGCTTGAAGTGGTTTGCGTGCATCTCTCTCAAATGTCATTTGAGAGCAGAGGCCTGGAGTCGCAAGTTCCTTCAATCAACCACTGATAGCATTGCAATAGATGTTTATTGCTCTTGCTGCTGCTCTTGCTGCTGCTGCTGCTGCTTCTGCTGCTGCTTCTGCTGCTGCTGCTGCTGCTGCTGCTGCTGGTGCCACTTCCCGAGAGATGTGCAAAAGTACGTCATCAACTACCTTCCGTAGGGCACAAGCGGCGGCCATCATAGCAAAGAACGTAGTTAGCCGCTGATTGAGGCTTCAAACAGCATTCGAGATCCCAAGGATCTCATCTGGGTTGAAGCTGAAACGATTGCATGGTGGATTGGCTTCTTCAATTCCAGCGTTCCAGCATGGTATGCAAGTGAGATGGGTGGTGGACAGGGATTTGCATTTCAAATGCAGAGCTGTTAACCTCGTGGCATTGTCTCCAGCAACAAATCCTTGGGCGCTGCAGCTTGGCAGGTGACATTCGCAAAGCGAGGGTGGGCCACACGAACGCATCTGTTCCCCGCTCAGGGGGCTTTTGGAGACCAGTAGTCAGCTCAAGGTAATATCAAGTTGTCTTTGAAAAGAGCAGCGGCTTTGCACTGACAGCGTCTTTTCAGAGAATTGTCTGCTGTTGAACCTGTTTTCGAATTAGGGTTCAGTCTTCAAAGAATGCGAATCTTTGTTGGAAATGAAGGTGATGGAGCCCTCTTCGATCATGTGATCTGCACAGATTTTCTTTGAGCGAATGCTGGGCCCATATGCCCGCACCCTTATCCCTTCAGAATATTTGAGGCCTGCCATGCTCAGGAGTTTAGTTTTCGTGGTGGGCAAAAAGAAAATCTGTGTCGCGGAGAGCCAGAGCTTGACCCCAATGATTCCCAAACTTGGAACCCCAACAGGACTGAAGATGTGCTCCTGGGGGAGTATGGAGGCGTGCCGGCAAGCTTGTAGCTGCTTCAAGTCCAGCTGACGCCACATCATTCGCGCTCATTAGATTCCTGCATCTTAAATTTCCTAGCAGCATTTGAGTCCGAGATAAGACATCGCTAAACTTTAGTCCATGTAGTATTAGCATCACTTACACTTTTTGGGGTGCATCGGGAGCAAAGGGCTTTCATGGCAGGGCAACCATTTCCAGGAAGACCAGGGACCTGGAAATACCTGGAGTAGGGCCCTGGAGGACTCAGGGCTAACTGCAGGCTTGATATTTCCAAGCCCCCCAGCAAATGCTAGATCAGTTGCATGGCAGGCTGCAATCGCAGCGACATCTTTGAGGAATTCCATGAGGTAAGGACAGCACCCTTTGCGCATCACTCTTACTCGTGTGATGCGCGCACTACAATGATGGTAGAATCTGTGTAAACCTGAGCAATGGCATCTAGCCCTCCACGGCTCAGTTCTTCCCATGTGCATCAAGATGCAGCATGTCTTTTTTAGGGGTGCCAAGCCAATATGGGACGTAAATTCAGGTACTCTAGCGCGAAGCAAGCACAAGGAAATTCTGAAGACTGCAAAAGGCCCTTCAGTTTTCCTTCAGGGCGGTCCTGTTCACATCTCTAGACGGATCAGCTTATTTTAAATCAATGCTCTGAAAGTCCCAAGCGCTTGACAACGATTGCTTCTGGGCGCAGCGCCATGTAGATGTGAAGGCGCTGGAACTGTACTTGGGCTAGGGCCAAGTTACGTTCGCATTGCCAACGAAGCTTTATTGACATTATTTGTGCACTGCTGCTTCTAAGAGGCAACAGTCACAGCAGCTTGCAAAACGTCGGACCTCCAGAAATGTTTCAGATATCTGTATCATTCGAATGCTGGCCAGTTACAGCTTTTTTGACGTACAATCAACCCCCAAAATTTAACGCTTCAGCATTGCCCGCAGTCGCATGTTCATCCCACTGTGACGTGTAGACTAATTTGATGTGTCTGATGTTGTTGACGAAATGGATGGATATAATCTGTGCTTCCAGTAATTTGTGCTCCACGTTCACTTGTTCAGCAGATCCTCTGGACAAATCCTTTCCGGCTAGTAGGGGCCATGGCCCAGGAACTGGGCCTCGTGCTTATCCGGCAGTTATTCTAGGCCAAAAAAAGGCCTAGACCTAGGTATAGGAAGCGCTTCCCGCCATAGCGCGACAAAAATGCAAGAATTGCGCAATCCCATCAGGTATTTTTCCGGGCCGCGGCAAAGGCAAAGGTCTAGGCTTGCACTTCAGACATGAGGACACTTGTGCACCACAGGATCACGCTTCCAGTCAGATTGCTTCATTGGGGCGGGGCTTGTGGCGCGCTAACGCAGCAACCCCTTGCCTTCCACTGGAGGGAAGGGGCTTTGGGGGGTAATTTGCAGCCAAGAAGTCGAGAACACGCAGCTTGCAAACCCCCTGTCGCCACGTGACGCGCTTGTATTTCATTTTAAGTTGGGGTGTTCTGCTCAAGCTGCAGCGAGCAAGGATTTTGGAGAGTCCCAGCTGCGGTTTCATCGACGTCCCCGGTTTTCAAGACAGCCGTGTCTAGACGGGGGGTGAATGAGACCTGTCGAGAGAGGCTGGAACCTGCTTGACTTGCTATATTTTGGCGTGCTGTATCCGGAGACTGCACCATCTTCATGTAGGAGAGTGATTTTGTGTCCTGCCAGCTTCTGAGCATTTCAGTCCTTTGGGCTTAGGATATACAAGCCGAAGCCAGTAGACGTGGACAATGCGCGTGTCCTGGCGTGAATGGCTGTTCGTACTGGCATTGCTGGACGCACCCCTGGAATGCCGTGGCGATGAAGACTCCAATGATGAAACATCGCCTCCACCTCCCACACGCGTCGCATCTTTCATGGTAATTGGTGACTGGGGGTGGGATCCTCAAGCACACGGCAATGTGCAAACCAGGGGCTGTCAGAACATGATCGCCACCCGGATGCACGAGGAGTTCCTCTACCTTGGCGACGTTAAGTTTGTCGTGAACGTTGGTGACTCATTTTACCCAGGAGGTGTCCGAAGCAAAGACGACGAACAATGGCACAGCAAGTGGCGCAATGTCTACTCGCCAGAGGTGCGAAGCGTTCCGTGGTACAGTGTCTATGGCAATCACGACATGCTCTTTGATCCGGGTTCCTGTAGCAGCGCAGAGGAGGATGCAGCCCAGATCAATTATAACGTTGCAGACCTGGACCACTTCTTCATGCCCGGCTACTCGTGGTACTTGCAGCATGAAGACTTGGACTTGGAAGTGTTGGCTCTAGACCTGAATTCGCTCTGGGTTGACCACACCTGCAGGCACACGCCTTGCGAAGCTACCTGTAAAGAGAAGGTCGAAGAGCGGGCACAGGCGGCTCTAAAGCTTTTCTACGAGAGGATGGAGCAGAGCAATGCCTCCAACATGGTCGTTTTCTCACATTACCCCACGGACCCTGTGAAGGGTTTTGTGAAAGGGTGTCTTGGGGCTTCCAGCAGTCCACCTTTCAACCCCTGCAAAAATCCTGTGCAGGACTATTTCTGGGGCCATCCAGAAGTGATTGGGAATCTGACCAATGGAACTCGACCGGAAGGACTTGACAGGCAAGGGGCGCAGTTAGTTAGGGAGGCGGTAGACGAAGTAAGTGTGATGTCATCAGTTCTGCCTTTCTTGTCCAGCTCCACCTGGAACCTTGTGCCAAGGCCCTGCTCCGACAAGTACATATCAAAAAGATGTCCTGTAACTATCTAGATCACAGCGATACATCACTGGGGCCATGGGGGTGATGGGACATGCTTCAAGATTCCAGGCACGTGGAATACTTCGCAGGGCATCGGCACAACGTCGACCAGGAGCCCAGGGGTGCATGGTTTGTCAACTCGGCGTCGGTGGATGCATGTGTCTAAGATGTCTCTTTGATAGTTTAATTAATGTGGTTTCCGGAAATCGTTCGTGCAAAGGGCAGCCTGCAGGAGTCTACTACTTCCATCTATCCCAACAACAATTGGCTTGTTGGAGGGGGAGGTGGCTGGGGCTGTGACGGAAGAGAGCAAGGCTTCGTGGTTGCCGAGATTTTGTCGGACGGGAGCATCACGACTCGTCCAGTTTTGGTGGATTACTGCAGCTGTTGCGGGGGCTGTGGCTATTGGTGGTGGCGACCCCGCTGATGAAGCATGCTGCAGCTCTGCTGACAGGGCAGGAATCTCCAGAGCTTGTCTCCTTTGAAAAATCTCCCAGTCGCAGTCTAAAGTTTTAAGATGCATTGCCTAGACCTGGCGCCTACTCCTGTTCGCGAACTGCAAGAGCTCATCATGTAATCTGAACAGCTTCCTCGGATGTTGGCTGGCCGGCCGATTAGCCTCGTGAACAGGAGCAAGCTGTTTTCTTGGAGCGCGCCGTAGAATTTATGTTAACCCGTGTCAGGTCATGCTTTTAGAGCATGTGTGGTGGCTTGTCTTGAAGAGGGGTCCCTAGACATGCAGCGATTTGAATGTCAGACAGTCCTTGGCAAAAAATCAAGAGACCCCTTGATGTTGACCGGCTCTCGTTTTTGCCATTTGGCGGAGCATCTCCGAGAGATGCTCCGATACCTGCCTCGTGATGGACGCAGGACTCGAGTTTTCAGGCTGCCAGACTGTACTGTGCAGAAACAGGATTGTGGCAGTGTCTTCCTGCCGAGAGTTGCCGCCTGTGGGATTGATCCACTTCAGGTATCCCGTGTCATGAACTCATGGTGGGACCAAGTCCATTCTAACGTCGATGGCGAAGATGCCGAGAGGAGCGCTCATGCACCCAAGCACCGAAGCACCGTGCACTTATGGCCAGGCATAAGAGTGAGGATCCCTCAGTGAATTCACCAGCAACTTAAGCCTTGCATTTGGAATCAAAGCAGTGCTAGACCATGTGCGGCTTGCTAAGAGTCATATCAATGGAAACCCTGCCTGAAGCCCAAAGTCGAGGATGACCATGTGAAGCTTGGCTTCACGAGCTGCGGCCGCCGAACGTGATGGCAGTTGGGGACGCGGGGTTGGAGAGTTGTCGCAGGATTCTTTCGCTTCTTGATGATGGCCCAGCTGTTTAGAGTGCCGGGGTCCCTTTTGCCGAGACGACGGCAGGATTAGCTGCATGTTCGACGAGCAGGCTTACATGATTAGGTCCGGGCTCATGGAAGATCTTGTCTGTTAGATGCCGTGGCCAGCCGGAACGTATGAAGCCACAACATACGCAGGGGATTCGCAGTAAGGACCTGTGTGGAATGTGGAGACAGGTCGTGGCAAAGCCATGGCGGGTTTCTTATGACTTTGACTTTCGCGTAAGGACCGTGAAAGCATTGACCTTGGCAACCAGCTACCTTTCGCGTGCCTGAGACGCTGGGATAGAAACAGTCCGTACTTTTGTGTTGACTGATGTTGCACAGGCATGCATGTAACTTTCTGCACTGTCACTTTCCGGGAATGTCCTTGTTCGAAAGAATTTTTTTGGTCTGTGTCCGGAAGCTGTCGAGTGCGCGTGATTCATTAGCATAGGCAGCAATTTCCGTCCAATTCAGAGTTGCAGCGGGACAGCGTGCCAGTTGCCAGCCATGAGTGCCAGGGCCCTGTTTGCCTTGCCTTCACTGTCGTCCGCGTTGAGAGATTTTTGTGTTGTTCCTTCACCTTTCTAGCCTCAATGCTGGGCATCCTATTTTTTTGAGGTCCTCGGTGAGAAATCTTGTGTTATCAATAGGTGCTTTTCAACCTGGCTTAGGATGCAATAAGTGGACATGGCAACCGGTAGCTCGCATTGGTGACAGCGCCGTTTTCTGGAAGTAGCTGCAGGAGATAAGAGATATTCAAGTTAGGAAGTTAGAGCCGAGCCAGCAGGGGAGCTTGGCAAGCTGCCCGAACCTATTTCACTAGAATACCAGGTCTGGGCGACAGCTTGTCGGTTATTGTTGAAGGAAAAGACTTTGCACCACTCGAGATGCCGTACTTAAATGTAGATTTCTTCGGGAGTTTGTGCACAGAGAACGCGGATGGTGTCAGCTTAGTTATGCGCTTCCTGCACTAGAACCAGTCCAGACGTACGTGCAGCACCTGCACTTGATGACAGAACGTGGAATGCCTTTTGTAGTCATGTTCCATGTTGAGCGCAGAGCGCCATGTCTTTCTGCTCTAATGCAGTCTGTGAGAGGTCGTGCCTTTTCCGATCTTTCTGTGTGGTTGTTTGAGGAACCAGCTGCGCGGTGGGTCTCTAGGATACAAGATCTTTTGAGGCCAGTGATGGAGATGGTTGCCTGGTCCTGTTAGGTGTCTCTGGGCTTTATGCTAATGCTGCAGTAAAGTTTCTGTGGTTTTGCCTGTGCGCGGCAAGAGCGATCCGAACCGTGGGAGAGAGAGAAAGAGAGAGAGAGTTGGTCCCAGGGGAGCCGTAGGGGTCCCTACCACCTTAAGAAGAAGCAGGGAGAGTTGGTCCTCTGGAGTACCGACTGCTGTGACGGTGGGACCGCGCCGGGTGCAGGGCTGGGACTTCGGGGGGTTGTAGACCCGAAGAAGAAGAAGAGAGAGTTGGACCACTCACGCAACGAAGATTGAATATTCTTCATGTTCCTATGGATCAGAGCAGAACCTCATGAGGCCAGACACGTTTTGCGCGCTGCCGCGCTATTCAGCTTCACGGTGAATGCCGCCTGATTGTGGGCTACTGTATGTGCTGTTCCATGCCTTCTCATGCAGAGTAGGCAAGAAAGTCAACCTTTGCGGAATGCTGCCAGGTGGCGCTGGCCGCTTCAAGCCACAAGTGCGTCAATTCCCCTGGCGGGACTAAGTGTCGTGCTGGCCAGTTTGGGACGAATTCACACGTGAGGGGCCCCTTGCGGGGTTTCTTCTTTTATGACCTGCCCGGGTTGAGGTTGACAAGCTGCCGCGCCAGTCCGTGTAGCAGCCGCAGCGGTTTGGTCAATTCCATGGTTATAGCACAGCGGAAGATCCTAGCGTGCGAGCGTAGGAAGTTCAACATGGTGAGGCAACTGGGCAATCAAGTTGAATGGCAACGACGGCTTCCGAAGAAATTTAAAGCAAGCCTGCAGGCTTTACTTTAGTGGCCCGTACAGTACAGCCTCGTAGCAACTGGCTAGAATGAGTTATGTGCATGTGGCCTTTCGGCAGAACCTGCTGCCTCTTCCGCTCTCAAAAGAAATACAAACGATACGACCAGACAAGCAGCATGGCTGAGCGAGTCCAAGCTCTCTCGGTGGCCAGGTGGGGATGAGGTGCAGAGTGCCATGCTCGAAGGATTTGTCCAGGTCCCGGCTCTCATGCTCTTCATGTTGCTCAATCCAAGAACGCTCACTGCATTGTTCTACAGTCATTGCCTCTCCCTAGCTCGGGTCTCCTGAGCTGCACCACTTGCAACTGTAGTGTTTGTCAGGATGGGTTTGTGCTATTCGCTGCTTTATGTACTGCCTTGGATTGTAGATTGTAGGGCTGAAGTTGGAGTCTGATTCGTCAGTAATGGGAACGATGGAAGATGGCTAGCTCGACCAAGGCCAAACAACCGGATCGTTTTGTTGGCCTCACCGTCCACTCAAGTTACACTGACTTCCAGGCCTGGCGATTTGGAATGTTTCTTGGTATTAGTGCAGCACTGTTATAGGTATGGCCTACGCCGCTCAGCACAAATTGTGGTTTTCAGATTGGTTGATCAAGATTCCAAATAGGCAAGGTTTCCCGAAGCAGACCCTGCGTTTGATTGGCCAGCAGGTGTCACGAGCCACACAGGGCCCCTAACCCGGCAGAGTCCTCGACTATTCGGCTTCAGCTGCAACAGGAAAGATGACGAGACTGAAGTAACCTGCGATCCACATAGGACATCTGTTGTTTGAAGCATGACAACGTGGGGTGCCTCCTGCGCATGGCCCAGATTCCTTGGCCTTGCACCTGTAGTCGTTGGTCATGAACCGCCAACCTCCTTCTCGCAACAATGCAAAGGCCTACTTCCACAATGCCGGTATGCATGACTGTCCTCGGCCATGCTTCCCCCGTGTCTGGTGCTGAGCTGCTCAAGATCTGTAAGGATGCAGTCATCCGATTTGATGCTGGTTGCGCCTCTACCAGAATATTGCTGTGCATCATTCCAGTAGAGGGATTTCTTTTGCAAACGAGGGCACGCTATGGGGTTGAGGGCATGCCGCCGGTGGAGTCAAACGTCAAGTGACATCGTGGCAACCCGGGGATGACGGAGGTTTACAGCTGGCCAGCCAAACAGGTGGCTTCCTGGTTTCCTGCTTTCGTATCACGAGGGCCATTGGTCAGGCTGCAGTTTTCTTGTCAACCTGGCGTGTGTCGCCTCTCGAATTAATCAAGCGCCGTCTCATGCTAAGGAGGAAAAGTGCGTCAAGTTCTCTCCAGAATACCCAGGCACGACCAGCTGAGGGTGTGGGTTCTAGTTTCCAACTCACATCTCCCATCCGCAATTAGGGTTGGCCAGTTGGCTTGTTGCAAGTGAGGCTTTGCCTGCAGACGAAAGTAACCCACGAAAGCACGAGAACTCCATTGCGCTTGGTCTGTGCATTTGGTGTTTTCAGCATTCGGCCTACTCAAACGGCAAATTGTTCAGTAGAGCTCCATCCACAAAGGCAGCAGCAATTGGTGTGATTGAGTCCGAATCGCCTTCGCATCAAAGTGGTTTTGCAAGTTATTCCACTCGTTTGAAAGTCACGTGTTGTGCCCTGTGATGCCCTGCAGGCATTGCCAAAGTAAACTGGGCCCGTAACGTGGGCATGGTTGCAGCCTTATCCAATGAGAGAAAAATGCTGCGCTCATGTCAGAAGCAGTTGATGTTACGAAATCTAGCTCTCGTCAGTGAATCTGTTTCTCCGGGTCATTTTTTTGACCCTCCTCCAATTCTTTTAAAACAATGTAATCAATAGCAAGCCACCCCCCTCCGCCCAAAAAAGGCTTCGAATAATTGACTAAGGGGGAGGCTTGCAGTTGCATGTCATTCGAAAAGTTGGTGTTCAACACCTGAGCCCTGTAACTGCATAGCTCCTTCTCTCTCGTGAGCTGCCTCTAGCTCTCGTGGCCCTCTTCTCAAGTGATGTGGGTGATTTGGGGGCTTGAGCGCAGGTGCCAGGCTGCCAGTCCACTCATGTGTTCCTCAGTCGTTTGGCAGTCCTTGACCGTTCCCGCGCAATTCTTGGATCACGGCTTGCAATCCAAGCTTCAAGCGAGCTTCCTTGAACGAAAGGTTTTCAAGACAGTAGGATGAGACCGCCCGCGCAACCAGCCCGATACTACACTCGCAGAGCCTTCAGTTCCGCTCGACGCCCTTATGCGTTGCAGAATACAAGCTGTGACTGCAGAGAGAAGAGCGACCGAGATGGATACCACGTGTTTCGTGTGAGATAGGCACTTCGAAGCCCAAGAGCTTACAAATGGTTGGGAACCTCAAGCAGAAGATGGCCGCACTGCCTGCAAACTCCACTGATCAACATGATGTTTTGACTTTGCTCAGGCGCCCCTCAACGTCAAACATGCGGATAAGAAACGCACTGGCCAAGGACAAGCACCCGGAGTGGTACCCTGAGCTGTCCACAAAGTCTACGGACAAGGAGATTGCAAAAGCACTGTACATGCCAGGGCCTGAAACCATCTAGGGCCTATGGATGTTCGGTTTGAAGGATCATTTGGTGAGCTACGCAGGGGCTTCGCAGCAGAGTCTTGAGTGGTGTGGAAGTTCTCTCAGCCCAAGGTTGAGTGAGAGTCCATCCTATGTTGCCCGACACGGGCCCAGAGAATCCTACAAGCCCCAACCTGGTCCTCTGCTTTGTCACATTGCTGGAGCGCTTCGTTCCTTGAAGGCATGGGATCGATGGCTGCCCTCGAATATGCGAGGACAGCTGCTGCTGAGGTGTTCTGAAGCCTCTGGGGTCTGTATAACCAGTCCATTTCATTGGTGGACAGGCGTTCTTGGATACGATCAGATCGTACGAGGTCGTCAAATCCGTGTCCGTTAGACCAGCAGCCCTTGTGACTAATCAGCTCCGTGCCCAGAGAACGTAGTCACCATCTATGTAATGCCTTCACTGCGTGTGGCTCCAAAGTTGAGACTCTACGCCAGGGCAGTCCCTGAATACTTCCTGGTGCTTTGCTGGTGCTGATTGCCTTTCTTCAAGCTACGCAGCGGTTGGTTTACGGCATATGTCTAGCTTGATCAAATTTGAAGCAGGCGCCGCGCAGAGAACAATGTCTTAACAAATCTCAAGCCCTTCGACAAAATGAGACATCAATTTTGAAGCACTGGCGTCCCGAACTGCAAAAGTGTGGAGCAGGACGACGAGGACGAAGGTCATTTTGAGCCTTTCTCCGAGGTGGTGTCGCATGGGTTTTTGTGGGAGCTTGATGTGTCGGCAGCTGTGGACTTCAGATTTGCAATCAAGTTATAATGTGATTGTTGCAGTTGCCAAGTTCCAGATTCCTTTTCTGGCAGGGCATTCAGATGGCAAAGTCGGAGGATTGGATGGCTGTGGCAACCTCAACCCCAACCTCGACTCTGCCAGATCTTCAGAGACACCGGGAGCCCATGTGGCCATCTGAGGAGGCAAAAGCCACGGCAGCCCCCACCGTTGCCCCCACAGAGCCGCCAACCCCTGCGCCCATGACTGAGCCCGCGACCAAGGCCACCACTGTAGCCACCACTGAGGCCATTACTACTGCCCCCCCCACAACCACTGTACCCCCAACAACCACCCCACCCCCTACCAAGAAGACCACCGATGAGGCAGGTTTCATCGTGGATGCGCCGCTGCCAGCCATTCCGTCCGGCTCCCATGAGGGTGAGGTGATCGAACCCCAGACCAGCCCAGTGCAGGAACCCGACCCATCAAAAGTGCCTGCAGTCAAGGAGCCCAGCATTCAGAAGGACGGGGCTGCGTGAGTCAGCGTACCTCAAGATTTGAATTGCCATTCGTACGCAATCATGATACTATCACATGGCTTTTGCAACACCTCCTTTTCCTCAGTCAGGCATGGATATGACCATTAAGCTGCACGGGAACATCACAGACCTTCTCAGGACTGTACGAGAGCCGGCCGCAGTTTTTCCTTGCCATGAGCCCAATTTCCTGCTGGGGTGAGGGTTGCTCACATCTAGGTGGCAAATGCTGCTCCTGGTTTTCTTGTTTCCCATCTTTTCATTTCTGTTTTCTGTCATGTACGAAGTTTTAAAGCCGTGCCGAGTTGCCCAAATGGGTACCCCAATGGAGCTTGCGGCAGCATTTGCGAAAATGTGATCATTCTAGTTGTTGTAAAGCCAGACCACCCCATCAGGATTGACATGCCCCTCAATGCCCGTTTCAACTTTCTGGAATTTGAGATCCTTCAACTTGCGCAGCAGCAAAGAACTTGCTCAGACAGAACCCTGAATCCCATCCCAGATGCAAGCCCCAAAGCATGACTCACGAGCCTCAACTTGAAGACACAAGGCTGGACTGCTTGAACCACCTTCCGACGATCATGCCTAGCAGTGCATCTTGCCAGGTCTTTTGCTGGATGTTGCATAGGGGCTGGAGAAACTGGGGCATTCACAGTTTAGTGTGGGTTCAAAACAAAACCCTAAGTGGAGGTTTGGTCAGTGTTGCTTATGCGGAAAGAACCCTTCGGCAAGAGAGCATTTCAGGGGGCGGCGGGATTATATAGTGCTTTTTGACGTTGTCGTTCTGTCGGCTGGGCACCAGCCAGTCAGCAAGAAAGCAATGGAGTGAGCGAGCGAGCAGGGAGCAGACGCCCAAGAGCGTGGCTCCACTTAGGACCCTGCAGCCGCACAGCCCCAAACCCAAAGCCCTGAACCTCCAAAGAAAGCCAGAATCCAAACGCCTGCATCTGAAGGACGGTAGGCTTCCAAAACTGCAAGCCCCCAAACTAAAACCTTCAAGCCCAAATCCTAGAGCTAGGCGGGAGGGAAAATGACCCGAAGTCCTAAACCCAAAGCACTTGGCACCAAAAAGAAAGCACCTTTAAGCATTGCTGACATGCAAAGCTAAAGCACAGCAAAAGAGAAAAACAAACAACCCAAGACCCTGATGCACCTAAGCCCGAAGCTTTGAACCCGACCCCAACCCCTGAATCCCAAGAACATCTAGGAGCCCAAGGTTCCCAAAGTGCCCGAACCCAACTAGAAGACCTGCTCCGGTGTGTAACGTGCTAGAAACCACTCTTTCTAGATGGGACTAGGCCTGAGATAGTCCGCCCGCAGGACCACTGTGCGAAGCAGGAGTACGCCGCATACTTTCTGTACCACGTGAGTCCAGCACGCTTTCTATAGTTCAGTATTTAGAGGCTCCTCTCTCATGGTGCCCCCGGGTCGGCACTGTAGGCCTTCTCTTTGCTCCCATGTTCAGCAGAATTGTGGCCTGGCTCTCATGTGGCTTTGTTTAGACAATGCCCAGCAGAGGGTAGTGTACCTTCTTTCTTGGAAGAAGAGCCATGTAGAAGCCCACGGAAAGTTTGACGAGGCCCGTCAAAACAAAATTGCGCTCCTTCTAGACGAGAGGTAGTTACGTAAGAGTGCGCAATGTCTCTATGTCGACATCTGTCCTGCACGCATTCTGTGCTGTTCAATTCGGTAGGCTATTGGCTCAATGATTGCCGTTGGTGCATAGCTTAAGGTTGCACGCAGCGTCTCCAAATTATGAATTGTTCTCGTGCTGGAAGATCCGAGGAGCATGGGAGGGCCTGACAAGGGCCATGTGTTCGAGAATATGCATTTTTGGCAGTTTGGCATATTTTGCTGCCAGCTTTGTTTGGTCCTTGATGGTCTGTAAAGCAAAGACGACTGATTCAAAAATGGCAGGTGCCCCTGTCTCTGTGCCACTGTCCTCCCGATGGAGCCGAACCGGTGGAGGACTGTCTCAAGCAGCGATAGGTATGCATTCCATCACCCAGAGCAATAGTTTCCAGAAAGCAGTCGTGCTAGAGTTTTACAGTACGTGTCTTCAAGACTTTCTTCTTGGGTCTGAGCAGGACATGGGTGCGGACTTCATTGGGGGCGACCTGAGCTGCACATCAAATCAGGACTACGTGAAAAGGCCTGTTCTTTCTGCTGGTTTGTCTTGGTTTGTGCACAGGGACATTAGACCGAAGACGGGAGGACCTGAAAGCTGAGCCCAGGGCTCTTGAACGATTTTTCTCGCACTGCCTTACAATGAACATCACGAACGCCTCCGAGCTCTCAAAGCCTTCCACACGTTTCGCCTGTGCACCAATTTGGGCAGGAATGATGCCGATGTCCCTGCGTTTGGGACCGTGCCAAGATCTGCTCTCGTCCGGCGCTCGAGTGAGCCTGGGTCTATCGTGTTGGCGTTCAGCTTCGCAAGCGAGCATTTTTTTACTTTGGGCTTGGCTCGGGTTCAGGAAGCGAGGCTAGAGATTCTATGGTGGGTTGGGAGGAAGGAAGGAGCAAGCGCATGGGCAGTTGTCAAAATTTGGGTGAAGGATTCAGGATCATCCGTAATTTGATTGTGCCTGTTAGAGCACAGAGTTGACATAGTAGAGGAATGAAATTACTGGCTCAGCACCTCAGCAGAATCTCAAGAACCCTGCAAATGTCAGCTCTTCCACAGGAGCCTACTGTGATTCAACCGAGAGCCCTCTGCAAGGGAGAGTTGGTGAACGTGTGATGTTTTGCGCTTTCGAATTCTTTGTAGCAGAAGTTCCTGGCGATACACCACAGTCATGACCTGTACATGGATCAGCTTGCTTGTTGCTGAGGCTGTAAGCGGCAATGTCTTGGTGCTCCAGCTTGTTAATTGCTCTGTTGTGGCTAGCTTCTGCATTTGGCAATTGAGGGGCGGGTTGTGGGGAATGCCCACACTCTGTCTGTTTATTGTGAGCAGACATGCTGCAGACTGTGTGCCGGGATCTTAAGTGCACACACCTCCCCTCTTCAACAGCAGGGTTCCAAAAGTTGGGGCACTTAGACGCAATTATTGGGGACGCAGGAGCTGTTGGTAATCTAGCCGCTTGCTTTGCCATTCGGACCACCCGCTGTTTGGGGGGTCCTAGGGCTGCTCCTGCAAGCCTTACAAGTATTTGAACGAAGACAGAGTGGGCAGACCACTTTGATTCATGCTAGTTTAATCCCGGCATGTACTTGCTCGAGAGCTGTCTAGCACAGGCTTCTGAAAACGAGCCGTAGCACAATGTGTTTTTTAAGCAGCGGGGTCGGGTTCGGGTGTTTAGCTTTCAATTTGCTTTGGAGTTTGGCCTTCACTGTAGCCAAAGCATTGAGGCACCACTCCCATGATCCTTTCCAACTGCGGTTTTTGGAAACCAACTTCAGGACATCCACAGTGACCCAGGCAACCCTTGGACTGGGGGTTGTCTATGGTGTCCTTGGGTACGACTACTTCAATGTCGCCCTGGTCTCGCGGCGACATCCATCACCCACCAACCATGGATCTGGACAGATCCTCACAACGGTACCAAGGAAAGGCAGGTGAACCTGGAGGCTCGAGAGGCCCTAGAACCCAGAGCTCCGATTACAGTTGGGTGTACGCCGCCATGTTCAGTAGACATTGACCCACACAACTACTACAGGAACAATCAAAGCGAATTCAGGCTTGATTCTGTGGCCAAACCCACTGCCGCCTTCACACCCAGAGTTTGGAGCTGTTTGTGCCAGGCAGCGGCGCTCGTTGCAGCCCTCATCACTGGGATTGCCGTGTTCAACTGAGATCTGCAGGGCTTAGCATGTCATCAACTTTTCTCCCACCCAGTGATTTTCGCACACTTATAGCACAACAGCTTGCATAGTTTGCAAGAGTTCCTCCACCATCCTGCCAAAGGATGTAAGCCCCGCAAGAACTCGCGGCACATGTCGCTTTCGGCCGCTGTAGAAGTTTGCGGTGCCTGGAACGATGCTAGACCCACACATTCTGCAAAGTAGACAGACACCCGATGTGGGATCTCAGAGGATCTCAGAGCATTAGAGCATTGGTCGCAGTATCCCTACGTGATCCCTTAGAGGAGCCATGTACCAGGTGTTGAATGTAAGTCCACATCCTAAAACGCGTTTACCAGGTGGCATCCCGCTTCGGGACGCGTCTCGTCAGCCAGCTGGGCCCTAGGGCCTCACAGCCGGAATCCGCAAGGCCAGATCGAAAAGTCACCTTTTGAATGTGCAGGCTTCCTACAAAGCCGGTGTCATCCAGATGTAGCCCAGATAGTGGGGCCTCATAGCCATGGCCTGGGACCTTTAAACATCGCTGGTGCTAGGAAGCATGGTTGGAACAGGCGATGGGATGCTCATCCTTTATCACTTCGATTGACGAATCCCTCATTCGTGCAGGCTTTTGGACCGCTACGAAGATGCTGCAGCCTAGCATCAGGCTGCCTGACCTTGCAGAAGATATCGGCTATCAGGCAATGCATTCTGGCAGTGCGCTTTTTGAAGCAAGCTTCGGGGCGTTTTGTCCAAAAGCTTCACCGCAGGTCCGCTGCCTGAAGCTCAGGATCTATCTGAATAAACTGAGATCGCTAGCCAGGGTGCTGAAAGTTCCGGCAGTACCCCTCATAAACTTAAAGCTGAGCCTGGAGATGCGAGATACAGCTCTGACAAAGAATCACATCCCAGAACTTTTGGCCTTCTGGTGCCCCTTATTCGCGGCCTTAGCGTTTGAAGGCGTGTATGCGCCTCATACATGCCCTCATACCCTGCTGCAGGGGGGTTCCAACGATTTTACATCCCTTCATGGGATATTTGCTTATCACATTAAAGGATCAGTATAATTGGAACTCGATGGAACTCCCCATCCTTCGGGATGCTTTTGCCTTTGTTGAAGGCAGCTCCCTCGCCTCGCTATGCGCTGCAGCAAAACAATGGGGGTTGAACAGGTGCTAGGGTCATTTGCATTATATATGCGGGGCAGGGCAACTAGGGCGATGAGCAGGGCAGCACAAGATTGACCCAAGTCTTTGATTAGTAGGCATTGGTGGAGGTTTCCAAAATGCGCAAATCCAAAATAGAATATCTCGCACGAAGTTTCTGGCTACTCCTGACTCAATCTAGGCGGTTTCTTGCGACAGACTTCGACGTTTAACGATGGTAGTTGTACAAAGCAAAGTGGATCCAGGCGTGAGTAAACTGTTTTTTCTATGTTGCAAAGAAGGAGATTGGAAGCCTCCATGGCAATGCAGTCCACGCACACTTCTTCACGGAACCTAGGCTATGGGACTTGCGCCCGTCAGGTGTTTCTACATCATTCCTTATACAGGGTCCGGTTGTGCTCACTGATCGGTTGGATAGCAGGCCAAGTTTTCGTGAAGGTACGTTGGACTGGCTCGATGCGGTCACCACCTAAGAGTGGAAGCGGCCGTCTAGATCTTTGTGAGACCCTGCCCGAGATTTCGGGATTGTGTGGTCTTTTGTTGGACGTGGACTTGGCTTGGCAACCGGTTGTGACATTTTGTGTGCTTACGAAGATCATGACTTGATGGTATTGCCACTTCAGGGCAGTGGACAAGAGACGTATGGCTCTGACATTAGTTAAAGTTTGAGGTTTAATCGATTCAATCAGGAAGCCTGGCTGTTCAAAGTGGGACTGATTTTGGGCGAACTCGTTGGGACTTGACGGGGCCCGTGAAGCTGACCTCCAGCCCTAATCTGTTGCATTCGCAAGTATCATGTAGTTTTGTCCTCGTATTCACTACCCGATAGGGCCCAGGGCAAGAGTTTTCCTGCTGCAGCAGCTACTTGGTCTACCTTGGATGGCACTAGCAACATTTGCTCAGCCAAGTCCGTGCTCGCGCTGCTTTTTTCTGAGCGCTTCCATTAGCAGCTAACGCGGATTTACGTTGTGAAATTGTGCTCTAGTTGCTGGAGGCTGGCGTTTAGTTACATCGGAAGCAAGGCAGACAATCAACAGAATCAGGCTGGGGGGTGCTAAGTTCAAGCTTGCTTGTAGTCACCGTAGTCCTTCCTCGTGCCTTCGCAATTTACAGCTGTTTTACCATCGAATCCGTGAATGTGAAGCATGGCTCAATTGTAGCCCAAGCCGCTAGGCTACATCGGGTTAAGCTTGAGCCCTCCATGGAGCAGGATGCTGTAGAAGCGTCCCTGCCCTACAGCTTGAGCTTCCATGGTATGCCCGATTGCAAACGCCTTCAAGATGCTCGTGCTGCAGTCTTAAGAGGATGTGTGGTCGTCAGACCTCTGCAAACGAGTTTCGCCACAATAAATTTCCTTCCCTTTTTCGAAGCCAGCCAGCGTGCAAGCAGATGTTGGAAACGCTGATTCTTTTTTTCTTTTTTTCCCTGAGGCCGGCCTGTGAGCCGGCAGCTGTCGGTGTCGGGCAGCAGCCCCAGGAACAAGTGCCGAGAGGGTTTTCTCTTCAACGTGTGGAGTGTAAGAATGTCTGGCGGAGGTCCGCGGCAGACGCTCAGGAGATGGCGCAGGGATCTGAAGTGAAGAGCGCTGCAGAATGTTTAGGTTTGGAACGCGGCAAACGATGGCCAGCTTGATCCTGGCTATGCTGTAGGCCTAGCGTGCCCAGCCTGCCAAGCTCTGTGGAACCTGCGCAGCAGCCGTGAACTCAGAAGTCAGGAGTAGACAGTAGACCGGATATCTTTGTCATTGTCATGAGCTGACAGGCCGGATCTGCAGGGGACCTTGCACGGATCCCCAGCAGTAGCTACATTACATGCCTGCTTTAAAAAACATGAAGAGAATCAGGGGAGAGAGCTTGTATGCCAAGCCCGCTAACGCACCGTTTCCAAGGCCTAGTGGGCCCAGTTCTGTGCCAGAACCTGCGCAACAGTCGTGACGAGCTTATCTCTCTCGTTTGTTCGCACACGCAGAACAGCTCAGATTTCTGTTTCAGGGTACTCAGGCACTGCAGGGATTGTGTAAGTCTGACAGGTCTACTGCAGAGCTGCAGGGGGCAATGCCGGGGTCTGAAGAACAGCTCGGCAGCATGGTGCAGCAGTGGGTGCGGCATGGTGGTGAGCCTGAGGCCTTCAGGACCCAGCTCCGCTGTGGAACCTTCAGAGCCTGCGCATTCCTCCCAGACATTGGACATTTGACATCATTTGGGCCCAGGACCTTTTGTGCAACTTTAGTTTTTATTCAGGCCAGAAGCGCAAGAGCGACGAGGCGATGACGCTCTGCGGCCTGAGGAAGGCAAGGTTTTTAGGGTGACAGAATTGTGGTGCGAGGATAGCTTGTCCACTGTTCAAGCTTGTCTCAGGGCTTGTTGTTGCAAGGGGCCATGTGCCGGGGAGAACAGGGATTGTGCGAACACTCTGTCACATCTGTGGATCATTGCGGGTCAAGGATGTTGGCAGAGGGTGGGGCTGGCTGCAGTTCCTTGGCATGATGTTGTCAGGTGCGCTAGTCATCGCCTAAGCAGGGGTCTAGACTTCAGGTTTGTAAAATTTTGGTCAAGTCTGTAACCAGTATCAGATGCTGCCAGGGACTCCAAAGTTGCAGTTGGAAGCACTCAGAGGAAACTTGAAACAATTTATTCGGCGAGTGATGAAGCCGGGTCAGCTGCGTTTGGGAAGGCAGTGGCTCAGATGATGGGATGAAAGTTCTAGACTACTAAGGTGCTAACTGATGAGTCGACCAGTCTACTGTGCCATACACGCCTTTCCGTTAAACGACCTAGGTGGCCTGGCTCAAAACAATCCCTGGTTTGTTGCTCCAACACCGGTTTCCATGCTCAAGTTGGTGTCGTCAATGGGTTTGACGGTCGTCAAATAATGAATCCTGAAGAAACAGATTTCGCCGGGAAAGGGTGTCGAGATCCTCGCCCTTCGCACTGGCGGAAGTCGAGGACCGCCAAATTTGTGGCACTTTCGGACAATTTGGTGTGATTCAGAGTTTGGGATGGGCTGTCTCGATCAAATATGCGGTCTACTGAGGGAGCAACTATTTGACATATTTGTACTATGCAGGTAGAACGTGCTTCGGAGACTGCCGGGTTCAGCGCAGTTTTGGAAGCTGGAGGTTTGCAGTGCAAGCAGCGCATGGAAGTGCGTGATGGGCCTGGTGTCAGCCTGATTTGGTGATCGGGGTTCAAGTTCAAATCTATCAGCAGGAAAGTGGCATCAAGTGACGACATGTGCAGATTTGGAGCTTTGTTTGACATCCGCATAAGACGAGCGGGCTCATTCACCTTGTGAGGAGACTTGGCGGTTGGGCAGCTCGCCTGAATGTTGCGTGCTTTTTTGTAAAGTGCACCGGTCACCAAGCGCTGTAGATCCATGGGCGCCTGCGTGTGCTTACATTGTTGGTGCTTGCACTTTCCATCCTTCACCAACCAGCACACATGCACAGCGACTGTTGAGGATAGCCAAAGCATGGCAACCCTTCCGTCCAATGTGGATGCACCTTCGACGAAGGCTGGGATTTTACTTTCTGAATTACTTACCTCTGCCGATCTCTGCCGACTGTTGTTGAAGCTCAATGACTGTACTCGGGGCAAATACTTGACCAGAGGCTAACAAGATTCTGTTTGCCTGTAGAATCGCGCTGATGCCAGGCAGTTGCTAAGAAAAGCTATGGCACTTCTTCTGAAGTGCTGCTTGCTGTTAGCAGTGCTTTCTCTTCATCACTCCCGCTGAAGCTTGTCAGCATGAAAGCTGGCATCCACCCAAGCGTCGCCTGTGAGCCCTGTTGCTGCTCCTCATTATGGTGTGTGTAGGGGTTGTTGTCAGCTCTTCAACGTGAAGCTGCCAACTGGAGCAGCTTAAAAGCAATGGTGATGCCCTTGATTTTTTACTGGGCGGGAGGACGTCCTCACCTACAAGCTCCGCTGTGCAGGGGTGTTGAGTCCTGAGCGTGCCACCTTTGTCGCCTAACCTTCTTGCGAAGGACAGCAGTCTGCAACGTGACCGAGGCCACCCCCCTGGGAAAGGAGATGGTAGGGTAAAGCTCTTCGATTTTGGGTAGGGTCCGTGGTTGCCTCGGGAAGGCCTCTGAACCATCCAACATCCCAAGTCTGCAGGAAGTCCTGGGCTGGCTTAAAGGCTACATGTGATCTTGTTGTGGTTTGCTTCGCGCAGGATGCCTAGACATTGGGGTTGGTTCCTTCTTGCATGTTCTTACCATCTCTACCCAGCTTCACAACTCCCACGCATTGTCTCCAGTCTCGACCACAATTGCAAGTCACCTGCACTCAGGTAGGCGGAGCCGTAGCCTCGATCGCAAGGAGGCCAAAGGGCCACCGGTAGCACAGTAGCGTGTGAATGCATGGTAACAGCATCCTTTCCAGATTGTATGAGATGTTTTAGCAGGGTGGGAAGCATCCTTGATGAAGGGACTTGATAGAGTCCGAAATGGCTTCAAGGTGTCCGGGACTCTGGGATGCTAAAAGCCTCTCAATTCTAGATTTGGGTGGGAAGTACCAGTGATTTCTGCTGAAGGGGTGAGGGGAAGGGTACGACACAGCGACAGCTGCTTCAATCGAATACAAGACTGCCCAAGTGCAAGTTGAAATATTGGGCCTGTGCATGCCCAATGCCAAAAGAGAATGCGTGCGTACGTATACATACATCATCCAGAGGTTGAGGTCCAGATTTTGTAGCTCACTGTTGCTGATGTTGCTGATGTGCCCCTCGAAGCATAGGCAAATTGTTCCAAGTCTGTCGGGGGCTCAAATCCTGCGATAAATTGATGGAGTCTTGCAGGGTATCGCCGTCGCGCCTTCCGCTTGCATTTTTGTTGCTCAAGAGCGAAGACTTGAATCTCACTGCCGGCTTGAAAGAAGGGACAGAGAACATGCCCGAGAAGGAAGAAGATGAGAAAGCTACTCCCCTGATGGCATCGAGCTCAGACTGCGCACAAGCTGCATTCTGGTTGCATGAGTTGTCACGTGCCGGACAATCTGCTTGATTTTCCGTGTTCCTCGTATACTTGCTGGACACATCTTCTCATTTTATTACAGTCTGTACTGCAAGCTGCCTACATGTACAGGAGGACACCAAAAAAGAGGAAAAGACAGACAATGCAGAAGCATCCGCCAAGCCAAAGGAGGAGAAAGTCAACGAGGATAAGAAGGAAGAGAAGGACACTGCGAAGACTGACAAGGAGAAGGCCCTGGCGATTGCTGTTTTGTGGACACGCCCACCCTGTAATGGTGACTACTCACTACTTACTAGGGATACTAGTGACTTTCGGGTCCTCTTATATTCCTATAATATACCACTATTATGGGGTGGGGGTGGTGCACCTAAGGGATCTTGTAGCCAGCTCCCGGGCCGAAGTGTTTCAGCCGATGCTGTGAAGCCGGCTTTGGTCAGGAAGTCCCTCCAGATGGAAAAAAGCACCGCTGGAACCCAGCCGCCCTACATCTTGAGCTGCCAGGCCAAGAAGGGCGAAGCCCAAGACGCTGCTGCACCAGTCGAAGACGAGGTCACGATCTGGGACACCTTTGTCAAGGCCCTTGAGGGCTGCCAGTTTCACCAGGGTTTTTTGCCAAGCGCTGTTTCCTGCTTTCATTGAGCTGCAAACCATGACTTTGCAGCCCTTCCCGGAACAGTTGAATTGTTCCATGGCCCGATGAAAGCAGTCGAAGTGCAGCAGTCCTAAAAACTTCCCAAGCATGCAGCCATCCTAAAGTCCTTGTAGCCTTCTGTGCAGGGCTTGACGTCCGCCCCAGTGATGATCATGACAGTTCCACGGCTCACATTCAGGCTGTTGCGCGCGGCAACGCCAAATACCTGCCAAAGGGCATTTGAAGCCAACATTTCCACACTGTCCATCGCTACGATCTAAGGTCGCAGTGATGCTCGGACTTTGGCAGAATCGCCCCTGGGACATGCACCAAAGAAGATGGGCATTTTGTTCCGACAGCATGATGCACGCGTGGGATGTCGGATGTAAAGGTGCTGCTGCATAGGAAGGCCAAAAATTCGATCTCAGGCAATGATCCGAATCAAAGCCGGTACCCAAGCATGTGGCCGGATGCGGTTTTAGGGAGCTGGTGCGATTTGTCAGGGGTGTGGTTGGCAGTGCAAGTGTTGGATTGAGCTGTAAGGGCTTGATTTTCTCCATTATAACCCTTTGCAGCGCTCGGGAGATTGCCCGTAGCTTGCTTCATTTTGATATGCAGTCTTTGGCAAACATTTGGCTTTCCACCCACGGACATGGTGGCCGAGGCTGGGGCCTCTACCTTTTTCCGGTTGTTCTTTTACTTGGCCTGGCGATTGGCGCCATCCTTGTGGCGAAACCTGGCTTCAGACTCCCATGGTGCAGATGATACTATTCTTATTATTGCTATTGCTTTTTATTGTTATTATTCTCGATATTATTATGAATACTATGTCATATGTGATGTCACCCAGAGGCTTCCACCTTTGATCTATTGTCTCGCCCAGAAACGGGAGACTGCGTTTTTTCCTGAACTTGAAGCATTCCTTTCTGGTCCTCTTCATTCAAGGGTACTCTTTTGACTGAGCCGTAGCGTAGCAATCCAACATATATATATATATACATATATGTATATAAAAGAAATAGATAGCAGCAACGAATGCCTCGCCTCTTAGTCAGTCTGAGCTTGTTTCGAAGGAAGATCGAGAACGCCGAATGGCGTAGGAACTTGCGCAAGGAGGTGGCCTCCATGGAGCGAGAGCAGATGAAGAAGCAAGGTCCACGGTCTCGACGGTTCAAAGGGTTTTCGCGGATTTGGATGTTCCTTGTTGTGGGCTCTGATCTCAAAGCGCTCCACAAAACTTGGGCAGGCAAAAGGTCGAAACACACTCGCACAAATGGTGGTAGCAAGCTTTTGTTCGTCGAGGCACCTTTGATGATAAAGGCCGCAGGAGGATTTTAGCACAGCAACAAAATAAACAAGAGTTGCAGACCGCAGGAGGACTTTAGCACAGCAACGAGATAAACAAGAGTTGCAGTCAGTGCCGCGCCGCTTGGGCGCGATGCTGCCCAGCATGTTCTTCCAGCCAAAAGCCGGAAGCTTGTGCATCGAAAGCAAGTGACTAGAATGACGCTGACGTGCGGGCAATTGCAAGGAAGGCTGCAGCTACTGTAGTTTCAAGAAAAGCGTGACATGCACACACTTATGGCTTTGGGTTTTCATGACGGTGGATGACAAGCCTTTGTCATGTCTGAATGTCTGAAGCGTGTCGAAATCAATGGGGCAGAGGAGTGAGAGTCTTGCAGGGGGAGGGAGAAAGGGTTGAATAGAGATTCCTGCAAACGCGAGCTGGACGACTGTACCAGAGTACTCCTTGGGCTCTCAAGCGAGCGCCTCGCCCGTGCAGGTCTTAAGCAGGAGGACCTTAATGAGGCGGCCATGAACATGGGTTCCTCGGCGTTTCCAATGTTTGGCTAAAACATGCTAGAACGCCGGTAGCCGGATTGTGTTGCCGTGGTGAAGTCCGGAACTTTGAGGGTGTCAATCAACTCTTCAACAGCCTCAGTCTACAGGACTCGAGACATGCGATTGTTAGGTTTGTCCATCCAGGTTTGAGTCTTCTGCCCAGGGCAATTGCTCAGATGCCGAGCTGAGGCATACAGCCCACCAACCTTGGGCTCGACTGAGCCGCTATTCGGCGAACGCTGTTCATAAGATGTCTTCAGGATTCCCACCTTACCCTCAGTTAGCAGAAGGCTCTGAGGGAAGGCGTGTGAAGTCCTTGTCTTCCTTGCTCGGAGTGAGACATTTCAGGGACAAGGGGGACTTGTGATGAGGATTTTAGCTTTTTACTTGTGCCAGCCCTGTACCAGCATGCAGGGTTTTCAAGGGCCCCCCTTTCCTGATACGGCCACTTAGTGGCCAGCGATCTGAGCAACGCCCAGATCTAATTATCTGCCGCGGCAAAGGATTTCGGAAGGGACTTCGCGTGTCCGAGGGTCGCGGATCCTCAACATGTTGGAGGAAGCATTGTCAGCAATCATCACAGGATCCATGCCTGCGGCCCGCCGCACTCCTTACAGCAAAGAGTGCAGTCACCGAGCAACGAGCTCTTCGAGGTCGAGCCTGGGGAGCCGAAAAAAGGCAGCTAGCTGGTGAGGAGCTAGACCAGCCTCCAGATACGCGAGATGTCAGCACAGCCTTTCACACGTTGGTTGCTGAAGGGCAGATCTTGTCGAACCGCCAGTTGAGCTAGTGAAGCTACAGAGTCTTAACTCTAAACGCTGCCCTCTTGGAGAATCGAGCCAGCGAGGTATCTATTTTGCTAGATGTGCTTGCAAGCACTCTGCGCAGAGCCAATCCTGGAGCCATAGAGCCATAGAGGATGATATGACCGGAAGCTGCTCTGCAGGCGAAGTCGCCTCACCGACGATCCAGATCGCACAGGGGCCTAGAAATTGGTTTTTACTTTTCTTCTGAGATTTCTGAGGGCTTCAGGATTGTCAGGATTTGGAGATCGTAACGTAGTCGTATGTATGAATGTATGTACATGCATATCTCTCTATAAAATTGCATGGTGAGATGAGGCTGCCAGCGTCCTGCGCGGCTGTTTTGAAACCAACAACTGAAAGCCCTTGAAACACAAAGCAGATGGGGTGCTGTAAAACTCCAGGTTTTTTTCACATATTGTCGAGATCTTTACCCCGCCGTTGGCTCAGTTACCGGCGAAGCCGACGGAGCCGCTCTCGGCGGCGGAGCCGCTCCGGTCAGCGCCGGAGCCGTTCCAGAAAGCCTGGCAGCCTAAGGAATGCAGAGACCGATTCTTTAGGGTGGGCGGGGTGGGTTTTCTGTGAGGACGGTGTGGAGTTCTTGCGTTTGTCGGCTTAGATGATATCTGTCTTGCAATCAGGGCCATTACGATGCAAAACTTGCTTTGTTTGGGTATCATTGCCCTGGCCGGCAACAGCAAGCCCACACCGCTATGGCCACAACTCTCTACCCCAATGTGCACTGCGACAAGAGAAGAGTTACCACTTTAGGAGAATGTGCGGTACATGAGGCCAGCGAGGCGCCTTGAAGGCTCCTGCACATGAAGGGAGAAGCTTAAATTCTGCTGAGCATGTCTTCTGTAACAGTTCTGCTAAGCCCAGCTTCGTGTTGCCGTTAGGCATTTGCCAGGTCGTTTCACAGGCCGACGCGATGACAGACGTGATCATCATCGCGATCATCACCGAGACGATCGACGCGACGACCGGCGGGACAACCGCGGCTGGATCGCAATGGAGAGCTGCGAGTGCTTTCTGACAGTGTAAGTCAGAGAGCGCATGCGCGCGGTCGAAAGTGAGCTAGTTGTCCAGTTACATCCATGTCACATGAGCCAGAGACGGTTTCCGTTTGGTTTTTCGAAATTGTGCAGGCAGGGACGATCGCAGGGACAACGGCAGAGATGAGTGGGATGACCGAAGGGCCGATGGGCGCTCAGGGTGCGTTGATCCTACTGAGATTAGTGCTTGCTGCGCGATGAAGTCCTGCATGAGCTGAAGACATGCACTCAACAGTAGTAATTCAAGAATGCAGGCCTCCGAACGTTGGTGGATTTCAGTCTGACTAATTAATGCCAAGTAGTTGCCAAGCGTAGGGGCAGGACTCTCTCAAATTGCTTTCGATGCTGAATATGGGAGCTGCAAGAGCTAGCTGCACACGGGAGCTCAGATTGCGTGAGCTTTGGAGTAACGGTTTGCAGGGAGCACTTCGCACTCTCCGAGTGCACCATGCTATACAGCATGAGAAGAAATATGTGTCAGGGATAACTAATGAGGTGAAGGACGATCAGCGAGATCGGGGAAAGCATGGCCGAGATGACAATAATGATGGAGCTGGAGATGCGAAGGAAGCCAGGCTCGCCTGCCCGCAATTGGAGCATCGAGTGTCAAGGAAGCTTGCAGACGGCCTTTGCAGGCCATCCTGGCAAGAAGATGCCGTGCCAGAGGCCGGAACCATTGTGGCAATCTCAGCCAGGACCATCCCAGCACAACAAAGTACGCCCAGCAAGTCCATCATGCAGGTTTGGGTTTTGACAGTGAGTACCTTGACAAGGGACAGGGAGAACCAAGCAGAACTGGTAGGTAGTCATGCACTTCCTGATCACAGACCATTGGCTTGCCAGGTTTGCCCAGAAGAATCTAAGTACCTTGTGCAAGCCTTTGCGTGCTACAGAGCTTTTCGCGCAGGCCAAGCCCCCCAAGGGTGGTGGCAAAGGATCCAAAGTGGGTAAAGGAGGCCGCAAGGGCCTGCGAGATGTGCGACGCTCAGTTTTTTTCTAGGGAGCATGGCGGCCTTGAAAAGTCAGATTTTCCAGATTGTCGTTGCAATTAGGATCTCCTACTCCTCAACCAAAACGTGTCCACACAGAGCTGGAAAACATGATTCAGGTTTGGGCGACTCCCCTTTCCACACCTGCGCACTGCGCAGACCCTTTTTTTTCACAGAGTGGTATTCTTCCAGTGAGCCCTGTTGCATGGTCCGTGTGGTTGAGCTGAGAGCCAAGGTTCAGCTCCCTGACGCGGCATCGCTGCGGCCTCAGACCCCAGACGGTTCACAGGATTGCGGTGTATGTTTGATGGGAGTCTCGGCTGAGTCATGGGTGCAACTGGGTAGAATTTTTTTACGAAAGCCTTACGGCTTGTCAGCCATAGTTCTCCGCCGAACAGTAAGCCGCGGATCAGAAAAAACTTACATCTCAATTTCAAAGCAGCTGCCATGACTGCTATCAGCCGTGAGCCTTTGAGAGGTACAGAGAGCTCCGGAAAACGGGACCTAAGATGTGGAACGAGTGCATGCAGCACGGCACAAAGGGTTGAAGGGTCCAGAGGAGTAATGGTCCCTCGACGACCTGTCGCTTGTCCGTAGCTTAGCTGATCAGAAAGAGACCATGAGGAGTATCCCAGCATAATTAGTCGATGCAAAAACCATTGAAGTGGTTTTTGCTTTGGGAGATTTGCACCTGCAGTAGAGGGGTTCAAGGCCGCGAGCAAAGGAGCCCAAGCGGCCCCGAATGGACAATCTGCAGCAGGCCACGCTGCTTGGTGGTTTCTTCCTTTTGGTGCATGGTTTCTGGCTTGGTCTCCAGCGATGAGCCCGCAGAAGAATTCTGTGCAAAGGCTTCCTCACCTGGGCTTTTACTGGGGTTTCTTGGAGGGTCCCTGGCGATCGAGCAGCTGGGGCTGGAATTTAGGTCAAAATTTGCAGCCTCCACTATTCGTAGTCTATACTATACCCTTGCAGCACTGCATGTGGCAGGACTTTGGTGCCCTCATGGCATTTTCATCGGCCATGTTGGGCCAACCTTTCCAGCCCCCACCTGAACAAGGCCTCCCAGGCACCGAGTGTGATTTGTTGCTCAGCTGACCTGCGACTACACAGTGATGCATTAAGTTTAGCAGTACCATCTGGTTGCTACTTCATTTTTGCTTCCGTATTGCTGCCGGCGCCGCTGCTGCGGTCTATTCTGCAGTCTTTTGCTGCCACGAAATTGACTTTGTTTGTAACAGCGAACCATACTAGATCGCAGTTTGTGCTCTAAGCCACGAAGCTCTTGAAGCTGGGAATGACATTCTGCCAGGCATGATGATGGGCATGCCAGCTCAGGCTCGCCTTGGAAGATTTGAATTTGGGGGTGCAGCCAGAAATAATGACTGCATTGAAATCTTTAGGAAAATCAACGATACGCAGCATCAACAAAGATGCTGTTCATGAGACTTCAGTTCAACAGGAAGCAATCGAGGATGCAAAGCCGCCAGAACCGGCCGAGCCCTGGAACCCAGGTTTCTTCTGTCACGGGGTGTCGGGTGCTTTGTTATATTAGGATGGGTAAGGACCTCGGCTTTCAAGGCCTGGGCGAGGTATCATACAAGGCGAATTATGTGAGAAGCAAAGAGTATGAATAGCCTCAGAATCCTTCAGCAGATCTGTTTGACATTTAGATTCATACCCCTGGCCCCAGAAGCTTGACACTTAAGTCGACCCTAAACATTGTATCCAGACCCTGAACAACCCGAAATCTTAAAGGAGTAGAGGCGCCCATGCAAAACAGACTACGTATAACGCTTACTGATACTGATCATTAGAAAGCATAGAGCTTGCCAGAGGAGCCAATGCCTGCAAATTGTTCTAATTCCGACAGCTCGCAGTTCAATCGTGGCTGCAAGCTTGCGTTTTGAGGATGTTTCAGCCCTGAGCTGTCCGTGTCTTGTCTAAAACTGCTCCAGATGGCCTTCCAGTCTGTGAATGATCTGGGTCCTACTGTCTCTCAGGATTGGCTAGCCTAGGTATTGCCAGGGTTCCCTTCATCAAAACCCCGTGCCAGTGAAGGCCAGAAGTCGTGCCCATGCCGCAAGACTTGCAAAAGCAGTCAGCGCGGCTCCTGGTTTGATGAACGGGAAAAAACCAAGCCTTTGCCAAGTACTGTGATAAACCAGAAGTTGCCGAGATTTCAAGCCGGCAGGCTGTCTAGCAGGGAGTTCCGAGATGTGCTGCAATGTTGATTGGCTTGGCGGGTTTAGCAGGTTGACATCATCAGCGAGATGCGTGCTCTTCTTCAGGACATGGGGCCCGGCCAGTTAAGCGTTCAGAGTGTTTTGTGACACGATTCTGGAGGCTGGAGGCAGGCGATGTTGTTCATGCAAGAGTTTTCGCTACACTCTAAGCGGAACAACTGTTCAAAGGCGTTCCAGCTGTGAACATAAAAGAGATTCAGAAGAGGGCTCTTGACACTGCCATGTAGACTGAATTCGCAGAGTGATAGCACTTTGCTTGCCCGACGTGTCAGGAAGGAGAAAGTTGGGGCCCAAGTGCAACCTAGATCAGTGCGTTAAGAGCAGGATAGCCAACCAACTCCTTGGTGCAGCCATCAAGATATTCGGCCCAGCGGTGCTATGTCGGGTGAAGAGAAAGATTTCAGACAGTGAAAGGCCCAGTTTGATGCCTTAGCGAATTCGCACCGTCAGGGAACCTTGGCTGTACAGATGCCATACCTTTACACCATTAACTGATTGATGCGATCCAGATTTTTCCTTGAACTCCTAATCATTTAAAGTGCCTTCTGCGACAACGCTCGTCCCAAATCTTCAGCGGAGTCTTAACAAAACGATCTCCGGCACAAGGAATATTTCCATCATGCCTGGCCTAGCTAACTAGTGTTCACAGAGGACACTTCGGTCTGGCACGGAGAGACAAACTTGTCAGGGGTGGAAGTGGTAACGTCAAGGCTTTAAACTGGCTTATGATGAGTCCTGAAATGTATGGATCATGCGTTCTGCTTGTCAATGTTTGTGCAATGTTTGCAGCCTCGCCTTATGTAGAAGATGTGTGATTTGTATAAACCGGTGCTCAATTTGTCCCTCACTGATTTTCATTGTATCTGTGCATCCGCATGGAGTCGGGTAGAGATGGTGAAGACATGATTTTTTTGGGCATAGGGATAAGGTACTTGTAGCACAACATTTTCTGACACCCGCTCTCCTGTCCTCATGACCGTTGCCACCTAGAACTCAATCAAGAGTTCGAAGAGCAGAAGGACAAGTCGTGCTGGCCTGTTTGGGATTAGGGTGTTGATTTTCAGTAAGAGAAGAAGCTGGCTGGACTGAAGCTCAGATCTGGGCTGAAATGTGTCGAGTCTTCCTTCGTGTCCTCTAGCCCTAGGCTGCTCGTGGCTAGAAAGCAGATTCTTGCAATGCAGTGCCAGCTGCCAGGGAGGAGCGTCAGCAGAAGCTGCAAGAGGTGCAGCAGCACCTCGGCTGGTTTGGATCGTACAGCTTCACCCCATTTTCATATCCTAGCCATAATACACACATCTCTCTTGCCCAGCTTTCCCAACCTCATGGCTTCAGGCACCTGGCTCTTCCTGTTCCACCTCCTCCAGAGCTTCTGGCCCTGCCACCGCCCCCACCGCCTGTGGAAGGTGGCCCAGAGGCTGTACGGAATCTCAGTTGCATTTCCATCAGAAAGTGCCATGGAACTTGCAACTTGCCTTCAACTTCTATGCTAGCTTTCAAGGCGTTGAGTAGCGAGGTTGTCATTCGTGCGAACCCCTTGGAATCCAGGTATTTCGGACAACGCACTCCTGGTACATACTGCGATTGTATGCCAAACATTGCCTGAAGAGGTCTCCGCCGTATGGGCTTTGCCCCACAAGCCCGGCACTTTTTTGTTCTTCCTCTTCTGAATTTGAACACCTAGTTAAGGAGCGAGATGCCAAAGCAGGATGGCGAGCTTCAGCAGCATGTGGAAGAGGTCCAGGCGGAGCCTGCAAAAGAGCAGCCTCACACGGAGGCGCCTCCAGTACAGGAACCCTTGAAAGAGGAAGCTCCGAAAGCAGAGCCTCCAAAGGAGGAGCCTCCAAGAGAGGAGGCTCAAAAAGATGATCATCCAAAGAAAGAGCTTAAAAAGCATGATCACCAAGCAGAAGAACCTTCGAAAACGGCGACTTCAGAACAAGACGCTCACAAGGAAGTGCAATCCGAAGAGCAGTCGATCAAAGAGCAGCGTTCAAAAGATGAGGGCGACAAAGCCACGGAGGATCAGGCCCTGGTTGCCGTGGCCGACACACAGGAAGCCGCTGAGCCTCAGAAGGACTGAGAGGGCGAATCGCAATGCCCCATGTTCTGGAAGCCCCAGGCGTGCAGTATAGCGTTTCATGGTGAGGATGGCAGTTTGAAGTTTGCCTGGCTTCCAGAGAAACCAACTGCTACTTGAGAAGCTTCCTAGAGTGCGCGCAACAACTTTTTGGTTTCCAGACAGCCCAGCGCCAAAAGCGGAAATCTTGCTTGTCGTGGACTAGGGTAAGGGGTCCCAAGCTCCGTATCAAAAACCGAAGGGTCCGTGCAAGAAGGAGGGGGTGGAAGCGGCGCTGGACAAGGTCGATGCGGTGCTGGAGAGGGCTGACGCGGTCGTGGACGTCGGGAGCTTTGGCCAGGGTTGATTTTTGAGGCCTTCAGTCACGGACTTGGGACCTGAGGGTCGGGCCTAGTATTGAGTGGCTTCAAACATAGAGAAGGCAGTTGATCCCCTTCTCCCCCCTCAGCAGCCAGACCAGAAAGCCCTCAAACTGAAAGCCCAGCTTGCAAGGTTGGGAAGGTTGCACAAACCTTGCCAGCGCAGGGGCACGAGCTTGCAACGCCGCCTGCACAAGCAGTCACTGTTGTCAGGCCGAGATTGTCTTTTAACGTGAGGTAGAATCCAGAAAGCTCATATTCTATGCGATAATCCGTCTACCTGAAAATCGCAGTCAATCACCAACAATCTTTCACGATTTCAGAACCAAGTGTAAGACTAAGACATTCATCGTCCGATCCGACATGTGCTTGTCTGTCGGGTAGCAGAGTAGCTGCTCTGGACGATGCATTGCTGCTGAGATGCAACGTAAAACTTATGGTTCCGCACTGGCCGTCTGGTAGACCTACCCTGGATCCTTGGAATTCCAGGAATGTGCATCAGGTATTGTGGCCTGTCAAGTTCTCCATGGCCTGGGCAGGTATTGGATCAATGGTTTCCGCAACCCTGACCTCAATGGCGTCTACGAACTCGAGAAAGAGGCACATTGGTGCTCCGATTTTCGAGCTGCCTCAAGGTGTCTCAAGGTTGTTGTTTCACCGTTTTCAAGGTGAGGATATCCAAGAGCGTTAACATTAACGAATGGCCCAGCTTCCTCTAGAAGTCCTCTACAGGTTTAGAGATGACAAAAGTGACGCCCATGCGAATCTTGCTGTCCTTGAGCTAGCTGACCATCTATCTAGGACTGTTAGCATTGCCGAGGCCTACGTCAGTGGCAGGCAAACATATTGGAAGGGGCTCGGAAAGGCCGGCCACTTGCAATCCCATGGAGAAATGTGTCGTTGAAAAGCTCTGCCTGAGGCCAGCAGCTATGAGCAGGTCGTTTTCATGTTCTTCTACGAGCAAGGGCAAAGGCTCACAGAACGATCAATCAATTTGCTTCTTTGCGAAGCGCGATCCAGACTCTGTAAGTGAGAGAACAGTGTGTTCAGGTGGCAGCTGTGTCCTGCATATGATGTCCCAATCTCAGGGCTCATGAGACTGGAGCCAGGTCAGCCGAGTTGTCATGCGGCGCGAATTACGTGATGCAACCTCAAACCCGTATTATGTCTTGAGCGAGAGTTTGTCTTTGGGTCAGAGCCTGGAAGACTAAGCCAAGCTGGATAAACAGCTAGACCCACATTCGTTTGCAGCTTCTTCGTGCTAATTCCTGGAGCTCTGCCCAGCTCTCGCCTTATGGCCAGCCCATCGAGAACATGTTCCCGCTCGTCCAGGCATGGTTTGAACAAAGCACCCCACACTGCATCCAATAAGTCTTTCATGCTGAGAGTCTCCGTCTGGCAGTGATGAGCATTTATGAATCACACATATCAGCAGCGGAGCGCTGTCACCGTGCTTGCATGCAGAACGAACAGGCGAAGCTGAGTTCAAAGCTGCAGAAAACTGCAATTCGGACAGTCTACCATCATTGCTTCCCTAAACTATAGCCTCTCAAGCCTTTAGCCCCACACACAGCCCCTGAAGCCCTTGCGAAGGCCGGTGACGGCAGAGGCCGGCAAACTCTTGAGGATTTGAAGATTGTGGGGTCATAATCTTGGACCTCAGATGGGGACCATAAGGTGGACTTTACAGTTACGCTGGGTAATTTGCGGAGATTAATTGGACTGTGCGTGCAGAACGCGTGATCAGGCAGTTCAAGTTTGCATGTAAGCAAGTATCAAAGTGTAACAGTGTAACCTCCAATTGGTTTGGGTGATGCCTAACGGGGCTGATATATCAGCCAGGGCACTTCCCGGGACACTGGTAGATGTTGATGCAGTATCTTGGCACCAAGCTGCATGCCTTTGCCAGTGTAACAACTACAGTATGAAGCTAAGATCAGATCAGACGGCTAGTTTGCCTTTTTTTCCATGGTTGAGTAGGCATACGCTGCACTGCGTTGCAAATCATTTCTTCCTCGTCTAATCCTAATCGCGAGTTCCAGGCAAACCATCCATCTTGCGTGAAGATTTCCCACTAGATGGTAACAAGATACAAAAGTTCTTGTCTGAAAAGGGTGCGCGAAGTTCTGTGCCTAACTGCAGAGGTCTGGCCTACAGCACCTCTGAGGAGAAGGTTTGGCGAGAGTGGGTGGATGGATCATGGCAGCTTGCAGATCTTCACATCAGTCTGGGAGCCCAGTTTTCCCCATTTTTATGCGCCACACCCTGCCCTTGAGATCAGAGAGCTTGAGGACCTGAATCTCTATGGTAAAAGGACCTTGCGCGTATCAACGCCCATCCTTCGCGCATGCAGGCTGCGATGAGGGATCTGGCAATTTCGACAAAGCGATTGAGCCACACCAGGCCCCCATGAATCACAGAGTTCCGCTGTTTCAAGAAATTTCTTTGTAGCAGATTCTGGCAGCTACTTATTGCAAGGGTTCTCTGCATGCAAAAATTGTCTCTTGCTTGGATTTGCTTGCTTGACCCTGACAGGACGTAGCCAATCCCGTCATGCCTGCCACACCCAACGTTCAAGCCATGCCTGGCACGCCCGGACTTCTGCCGATGCCGAACATGTCGCGGTGATGCAGTGGGGGGTTGCCACCAGGTGGTCTGATTATTTTCAGACCGTGGATTAGCAGTTTGAGGTGTACTTGGGACATTCGGCAACGTTTTGAAGGGGCCTGGTAGACAATCCATGGGACGCCTGCTTCAGCATGTGCGAGAGCTCCAAGAAACGGACACCCATGTTTCAAACGGATTCCGGATGTCAGCGCAGTCTTGCCACCTGATCTGAGTGCGAAGTCATGGGTACTGAGGTCGCCTGGTACACCAGCTGCAGCTTTCCATCAGGTGGATGTCTGAGTTTTGCTGGGCTAGAGCGGCTTCACAGCATCATAGAGTAGGCTGGGCTAGGAAAGCAAGTGGCGAACACAAGGCACACATCTGTATATGATTGAAGGACGGGCTGTGGCTGTAGACGGTCGGCTACAGAGCCAGCATGATGTGTCAAACCTGCCGGGACACTAAACTAAACAGAGTGTTGTCTCTTGATGGCATGCAGGCACCGGGCACGTCCGGCTATCAGGCAACACAGGCAGGCATGCAGCCACTCTGCTGCAAATCAGTTGAGGTGAGATTTCAGAAGGTCCTATATTGGAAAGTTTTTTGTCGTGGAAGCTGCACAAAGGTTCAAGGTATTCAGGCAGATTCAGGCCTTGCATGGTAGCGAGGGCATTGGGACTGGTTGTGCAGGCCAGCCATACCTGGCACGCCTGGACTTCCGCCGATGCCGAACGTGTCGCGATGATGCAGTGGGGGGTTGCAACGAGGTGGTCAATTGATTTGATTCAGACCCTGGATCAGCAGTTTGAGGTGTACTTGGGAAATTCGTCAACGTTTTGAAGGGGCCTGGTAGACAATCCATGGGACGCCTGCTTCAGCATGTGCGAGAGCTCCAAGAAACGGACGCCCATGTTTCAAACGGATTCCGGATGTCAGCGCAGTCTTGCCACCTGATCTGAGTGCGAAGTCATGGGTACTGAGGTCGCCTGGTACACCAGCTGCAGCTTTCCATCAGGTGGATGTCTGAGTTTTGCTGGGCTAGAGCGGCTTCACAGCATCATAGAGTAGGCTGGGCTAGGAAAGCAAGTGGCGAACACAAGGCACACATCTGTATATGATTGAAGGACGGGCTGTGGCTGTAGACGGTCGGCTACAGAGCCAGCATGATGTGTCAAACCTGCCGGGACACTAAACTAAACAGAGTGTTGTCTCTTGATGGCATGCAGGCACCGGGCACGCCCGGCTATCAGGCAACACAGGCAGGCATGCAGCCACTCTGCTGCAAATCAGTGGAGGTGAGATTTCAGAAGGTCCTATATTGGAAAGTTTTTTGTCGCGGAAGCTGCACAAAGGTTCAAGGTATTCAGGCAGATTCAGGCCTTGCATGGTGGCGAGGACATAGTAATTGGCATTTTCTCTTCCTGAGCTTTGAGCTCTTGCTGGGCTTGGCATGCGATCTCTGGGGAGGTTGTAACCAGCCCAGAGGACGGGACACTTAGCTCCCTGTCAGCCCAGCAATCGGCAGCTAGTTGCTGCTATACCGTGGTCTGTGAGAAAATTTGCGGTTGCGCAAGGGCGCCGCAGACTCCAGCTCTGCAAGGACAAGCCAGGAGCTCAGTTACATGGTGCAGGTGGGGCTGGTGTGGAGGTCACCATGTGCATGATGTCCAGGTGCATTCAAGCGCACGCATCTATTAGGTCCAGCTACTTCGGTAATCTTCAGTACAGCGTATAGCGATTACGCTCTCAGGTGCCTGGAACACCGCTTTTCGGCTGCAAAGAGGTTCAACTAAATTTCCAAGCGGGATGTTGGAACGAATAGATATAACATAGAGAATCCTAAAACATGTCAGCATACCCACACATTTTCAAGCTGAGCTGTGCGCACGTGCCGGCCAGCAAGCACTTGAAGTCTTCTTGCTTGCGTCCTAAATCGAATTCCAGCCTGGCTGCAAGAACCCTAGTCCGCCGCTTCAGCTTCTGATCGATGGTGCCCTCCTTGTGGTCTAAGACTCTAAGACTCTCCTTGTGGAGCACTGCCTTGCTGCAATCGTCATGAGGTCGGCCCGAACTCCCGCGCGCGTGCCAGTGCACACCTCAAGCCTAGCGGGCTTTGACCAAACTATGCTCAGGGCTTTCAAGCTCACAGAGTTCAGTTTGAGGCTTGTCACTCCTGGAAATGCAGCTTGATTTGCGCGGGGTGGTCTGTAGCATAAAGACTCGAAGGTGGTGAGCAGCTTCAGAAGACTTTTTGCAAATTTTCCTCTAGAAATTTATCCCAAGAAGGAATAACAAGGCAGATTCTCTGCAAGGCTGCAAACCCCAAGCAGACCAAGGTGCCGGGTACTCCTGGTCTGCCGACGTTTCAGGAGATGCACCAGCCGAAGTATGGGCAGCCATTCGGACGCAGAGCTTTGCTGCAAGGGAGGAATTGAGGAAGGAAAGCCGGTCTCTTCCTGGTACAAAGCATCTCTGTTATCTGCTATCTCTGCTTTCTGGGATCTGCAAGAACAAACAACTGCTGGTTCCCAAATCTGACAAGAGATGAGTAGTATTTAAGCTTCAGACCATTTTCTTCAAGGCGATGCTAGGTCGGGGGTGTCAGATAAAAGTTGCCAAGGTATGCAGCCGTGCAGCAGACCGTGGCCATACTCTCAGATGAATCCTTGAAAGGACATTTCGGAGAGCCTCAATTCTTTTGTACACCTTCAAAATGGAGCTAACGGAGCTCTCCGAGGATCCTGGGCAGTATCTCGTACCTGAACATGCACGGCCAAAGGAGCAAAAGAGCCGCTGGAAGCTGAGAAAGCTGAGAAACCTTTGATCTTTACACTTGCCCCAACCTGGTCTACTGCATCTACGGCCTATTGGCCCGAACATTTTTTTGTTGTATTTCATTTTAGATCAGTTTCTGCTTGTTGGCGCTGATGCAAACCCCCCAGAATGTCGAAACCCCATGTTTCAGTTTCAGGTCTGATACGGCAGTATGACAAGCCGAGCTATGAGGTCCAAATGCAAGTTGGCACTCATCAGTGCATGTACGGCACAAATTGAGCTTAATCTACCAGGCCATCTTTATTCGTGAAACAGACTTTCTGCAGGTACGAGAAGCGCCTGTTGAGGAGAAATGGAGCAACAAGGAATCGGTGCGAGGACGGTGTGATGGTTTGGCTTAATCTCTGGGTCTCTTTCTAGACCATACAACACACCTAATGCAAGCCTCTTCAGGGCTGGAATGATGTCTAGACCTTTTTGAAGCGGGGTTGCGCATATTGCTGACGAGCTGCCTTCAATAAACGAGACGCTCTCTTTGGAAGCTTCTGGCAGCAGCTGCCTAAACGGCTTTGGGCCTGAAATTTCAAAATTGTAGCAAGGTTACTACATTCCGGGCCGGGAACTTCATAATTTGAAGTAAGGGGCTTTGAAAATTGGTGGGTTAACTTAGCATTTGACCTGGATGATATTCGTAGTCCACCAACAAGAGCCTCAGAAGCTGCATATGCAGGAATTCATTTCGTGCCAACAGGTCCACGATGTTGCAGATATCAATGAAGGTAACGTGGTCCATAGTGAGGTGGCCTTCTTGAAGACATCCACCAACCTGAAGTTTGTGCGGGATGGACTCTGTTGATCGACAGGTTCACTACCGACTTCTAGTAAACGCCAGTAAGATAAAGAAAGAGGAGTCAATGAATGGAGCAAAGGGTCGGCGCTGACCTCAGTGGAAAGAATGGCTGGAGTGCTGCAGCTTTTGAGTTTGCGTAGGTCAGCTGTCTAGGGTTGAGAATGAGATTCCAGTGAAGCATAGTAAAGCTGAAAAGCTCGACTTACCTGTTCGGTTGAAGACGTGGAGCTTCATGTCCCGGGTGGTCGGAAATTAGACCAACCTTTCGTTTGAGTCATAGGTTGCAATCATTTAAGGGTTGCCGGCAAGAGCCTGCTTGATGGCTGGGAGAAATTTGTGGAGATGGCCATGAATCTGCCTTTGGCATGCGTACAGACCTTGGTACGTGCTTTCTACTGCAAGCTGTCATTGAATGACCCACACAGGGGGTATTGCTGAGAGTGGCCGTGTGCATAGGCTTCCAGATGGGGTTTCTTGAATGCGGGCATGGCAACGTGGTTCATGCGAGGTCTAGCCGCTAGCCTCACCTGAGTAGGCATTTTTCACTATCGGTGCGTTTGTGGCTTGCTCAAGTGCACAACCAAATTTTTCAGCTTTTGACATCTTGTCGTCTCTGTCCTCATTCTGCAGCTGGGAGCGCCCGGCTTTGCTGACAAGCGGAGAAGTTGTCCCCATCATGCATTTCCTGTCCTCGGGCCTTCAGCCCTGGAACTTGGCAGCCTTTGAGCCCTCCAAACAGAAGTACTGCAATCCCACCTCAAGCCCAAGCAAGCCCAAACCATCCATTGTTTGAATTTGGACCCATCATGTAGATGTGGCAGGGCAAGGGGCAGAAGGAAGTTGTGGAAGCTGGTGAGTGGGCAGGTGCGATCCTTCTCACAGTAGGGAAACTACTCCGTCGGTGTTGAGTACCGTCCTGTTGTATGCACTTGCATGGTAAACCTGTCGGGATTCAACAACCAAGTCAGGATGCCCCGTTGACCGTGGTGTTGCTGAACTCGCGGTCGAATTTCATCTCATGGAAGGTCATCACCACCCCGATTCCAGGTATCAACAAAGATGGAGCAAAGTCTAGAGCTGCAGAGGCCTTGCCATGTAGCCTTTTAGCACTTCATGTTTCTGCCGAAGTCATGCGCTTACACTTTTTGAATCAAAGCTTTGCTTTGAAGTGCAATTTGCGTGGGCTTCAGCTTGGTCATCCATCAGGATCGGACCGCTAAGCCATGGTAGATTAGAGGTGTAAGGAAAAACAAGCTGCAACGTGAAACTAAATGGCGTCAGGCAGAAAGCAAAGACCTCGACGCGGATGAAGCTGAAAGGTCCCACGTTGCAAGATTAGTTGGCAAACAGTAGCCCCACCTGGCTATGCAACTCCTCCTTTTTGCTCCGCAGCTCCATGTTCAGAACTCCATGTAGATGAACCATAATGTTGCTTGCACCCTGCTGTTGGCTTGTGGCCTCTTGCGTGCAGGTCCCAAGTGATGACATGCAAGGGTTGCATAGCCTAATCTCAAGCAAGACTTGTTGTGTCGTTTGTTGGAGTCATATCTGGCCTAGACCGGCAAAGACGTGTGATACTGCTCTCTAATCAAAAGATGTATCGGAGAGCGCCAGACTATCCAGGGCATGCCCTGCAAATCCGTGCTGAATCAGGGCTGGGAAGACCACCAGCGCTAAAGAGAAGAAGGGAAAGAAGGAGAAGAAGGAAAAGAAGGATAAGAAGGAGAAGAAGGCCAAGTCCGTGAAGACTGGAGAGGAGGAGGAAGGAAAGAGCGATGATGAAGGTGAAGAGGAGCAGCCAGAGCCAAAGGCGAAAGCCAAAGCAAAGGCAAAGGCCAAAGCAAAGTCTGAGCCGAAAGCAAAGGCCAAGACCAAAGCCAAAGCTAAGGCCTGTCCATCATGTGCTGAAGTACTTCTGTGATTGCACGTTGCCAATCGCCTGCCTGTAGGCGAAGCAGAAGAGCCGAGGCCGGCGCCATGTGCTGACAGCGACTAACATTGACTAACATAAGGATTCTAGTTCAGAGGGATTTGGCTGGTCGCTGACCATCTTCTGTGCTACTTCATGGAATGTGCTGCTGTTCGTTTGGTAGGATCTAAGTCGGGGCCACAGGCTGCAGAAAAAGGCTTTGGAGCCGATCATGCATTTGGGGTCCTGGCTGGCGAAACAATCTCCGGTTGTTTCAATTAGTTGCATGTCAATTTGCTCTGGATGGCATGGCAGGTGAGCCTTCCGATTCGGACTGATGTTCATTTCAAACACATGCGTGCAATGAAAATGCTTCAACGACAATTTTGTGGCAATGGCTTTGTTATCAGACATCTGGAGAACATTTGATTTGGAAGATGGTAATTGTAAGCGCTAGCGCGTGTTCGCTTCGGCGGCCAGGGGGTTTGCGGGGGGGGAGGTGGCTGGAGGGGGGGCTTGGGGAAGGGGTTGCCGAGGCCAGCAGAGTGGGCAGGGCTGGTGGGGCCGGGGGGAGGGGGAGAAGGCTGCATTCTGGTCAGCTTCCAGAATTCTGTTGGCCAGAGGCTGAAGAACAGAAATTCATGACCTTTTCCAGTTAAAAATATTCCATAACGTAGACAGACACGGCCAATCTATAAATTCTGAAAGATTTTGACTCTCCGTCCCGGGTCTATGTGCTCCGCCGAGCAGCTGCGCAGACATCCAAAGAGAGATAAATCATGCGGAAGACCGCTCCGGAGGCTACCAGACTTGCAGGGATACATAGAGTTTAGGGTTTTGGGTATAGGACATTTTGTAGTTCACATAGGGGTACGTAGGGGTTATTTGGAGATAGAGGCCTCAAGTCTAACTATCCCAGAGAAGCCTCTAACCATATTTCTTACCTGGATTCTGATCGTCCTCCAAGCTGCTGAAAGATTTTAGATCTTCGCCCCGGGTCTGCACGTTCCGCCGAACCGCCGCGCAGACAGCCTTAGAGAAAGAATAGATCGAAATCTCGAGAGATTTTTGAGTATTATCCCTCTTCATCTTTGAGCGCGGCGGCTCGGGGAAGCATATAAAAATCCGTGAACAAATACCGCCAATCTCTAAATTCTGAAAGATTTTGGCTTCTCCTTCTCGGGTCTATACACTCTACCGAGCAGCCCCACCGAACCAAAAAAGAGAGAGAGATTATGAAGAAGACCGTTCCAGAGGCAAGGACCGCATGACTAAAAGGCTTGGAGATTTTAAAGTGCAAAGCTTCCCGATGGACGGTTCTAAAATCTTCAAGAATTTAGAATTCCTCAGGAGACCGGAGGAGGCATTTTAATAAATCGAAAGATTAGCTAGCCCTCATGCAAATGAAATGATCGTAATATGATATTATATTTTTGAAATATTTGAATTAATATTATCAAAAATTATCTAGTATCAAAAAATATATTTATATTTGATTCTTTTTCGGGTCGAATATATAACAAAATCAAATTTTAAATATCTCAACATATATCTCTCGAAATAAAGAAATAAAATTTTTGAATCGAATTCTTATGAAATATTAAAAAATCAGAATTGATCTATTATCTTCAAGAATAGAATATTCTATGAATTTAAAGCTCCTCGGAAGATCGGAGGAGGGCTCTTCGGGAGATTGGAGGAAACATTTTAATGATAAACCGAAATACTAGTCTTCATACAAATGAAATGATCATAATATAATATTGAAGTATTTGAATTAATATTTTCTATAATTATTTCATATTAGAAAATTCAATACATGCTATAATATTTTATATTTGATTCTTTTTCGGGTCGAATATATAGCAAAATCAAATTTTAAATATCTGAATTTCAAAATATATTTTTTTGAATCGAAATTTTATGAAATATTGAAAAAATAGAATTGATTTCCTATTTTCAAGAATAGAATATCTTTATCTGAGAAATAGAAATCCAAAAAATCAATAATATATAAAATCGTAGATGAAATTTGATGAATTATTAATATATATATGGTATATATAAATCCTGAAAGATTTTAGATATTTATCTCTAGATTTCATATTCTCTCGATGACGCGATTTTCTGATCTCAAAATCTCTCATTTCTAAATCGTTTTCATATTATTATCTCATTTTATCTCTCTTGCAATTCGGGAGAACGCATGCGACTAATTTTTGAAATTTACAAGATTTTGATTTTCCCCCTCGGAACTACGCGCTCTTCCGAATAGGTATCCGATAATAAAAAAGAAAAAACTTATACGGAATATATAAGATCTCATATAAATGCCGACGAATATTCATTATATATAAGATCGCATATGATTAAAAAAGAATTATCTAATAGATTCTGAAAGACTCTAGATCTCCGCCTCGGACACGGATCTCCGCCTATCCGAACCGTCACGCAGATCCCCAAAGTCTCGAGAGATTTCGGATCTCCGCATCTAATTTGGATCTTCCGCCTCAATTTTTTCTCTTGCTCTATAGGGGAAGAATACATAAATCTCCGTATATAGATATAATCATTCTATGAATTCTGAAAGATTTTGATTTTCTATCTTGGTTTATCTATTCTTCCGATCAATTTCGTCGATATTCAAAGAGAGATAAATTACGCGGAATATATATATTCGCCCATAAATCTCGACGAATAATCATTATATATAAGACCGTATGGGATTCAAAACGACTAATTTACTAGATTCTGAAAGATTTTGGATCTCCGCCCTGGATCTATATAGAATCGCCGAGCAGATTCCCAAAATCTCGAAAGATTTCGGATCGAGAAATCTTTTCATCTCATTTATCTTTCTTGGACTTTCTGCGCGGCCGCTCGGAAGAGCGCATAAATCTCGTAGATAGATACGATCAATCTATAAATTTCGTCTCGAATCTATACGTTCCGGGGAATAAATATCTCGATATTCAAAGAGAGATAAATCATATAGAAAATCGTTCTGGATATAAGAACCGCGCGACCAAAAAAATCCGAGATTTTTGGTCCCTCCGCCTGCGCCAAAAATCTCAAAGATTTTAGATTCTCTAATTTTTATAGAAGAATCTAAATTCTCGCAGATATTATAAATCCTAGAATGAATTTGAAAGCTGATCCAGAAAAAGACGCTCGGCAAACGATAATCGCAAATGACCGTATCGTAATATCGAAATATATCAAATCATCAAATTAATCTATCAAATAAGAAAATCTATTTTGATATTATAATCAATGATAAAATGAAAGCCTCGATTTTTTCTAATTTTCTTTTAAAATAATATATCATAATCGATTTAGATCTGAAATATTTATTCATAAAAATGAAATAGATAATTCCAGGAACTATGATATGCATAAATATCGAATATTCAAAATTCAATTATATAGAAAAATATATTCTATCAAATTATAGAGAAGACCTCAGAATCAAATAGAAAGAATCTAAACATCATCGAATAAAGATAAATAAAGAATTCATTCAAATAAAGAAAAAATCAAATAGAGCTATTTTCTAAGATAATAGATTTTTCATATATATATCATATATATTCAATTATCAGATTTAATCATGATAATCTAAATAAAAGATATAGAGTCTATATGTACGATAATCGACTGAAAATCTATCCAAATAAGAGATAATTAATATGATGAAAATAATTCAAATTATCTTGCGTATTATCTTTATGGAAGACAAAAAGGCGCGATATCAGATCTCCAGATCATATATCAAAATCTATCGTCTTCCGCGGAACGCCCAGGGACCCAATATCCCATAGAAAGAAACGATAATGTTGTCAATATACGAGAGAGAATTCAATGAATTTTCAGCCTAAGAAATATTTCCGCAACTATGTTTCATCTATCGCTTCCGGCCTGGGCTGGGGGACGGCCTGGCATCTGATAATCATTGGCAAGGAAGGAGAAAATCATAACGATAAAATTCAATCATCAAAATATTTAAAAAAGAAAAAATAGAATTTTCCTTGAGCGTCCGCTCGTAGATGCATGAAGCAATTGTTGCAAGGCAATCGAGATTCGTTCTTATAATCTAAATCGCATTCGTCCAATCTGACGTCATATCGATTCGTCAATTGCCTTGACCAATGAATCCAGAATCCTCGCGATCTCTTCGATCACGCCTCCTAGATATTCAAAAATAACGGATTCAAAGACGAGATCGGATATAAGAGATTTGATTGAATATCTTATACCAGCATTTTCTTCAATGGTCAAAGGCCCTCTTGAAGCAGGTCGAAATAGGAAGATATCGGCAAAATCAATTGCAATCTAGCGAAAGAAATATTATGATGATTGACGATATAATCTCCGAAAGAATCATAAGAAGATCAACAGATCTCCTATTGTAGATATCGAGAAGAAATCTCAAGGATTCGAATTTCAATCCAAATATCCTTCCTAATAAAAAACGATAAATCTCATATAGATATAATTATATAATCCAATTTCCCAATTATGATATATTCTAAATAATGATGACTATATTAATCTGAATCTCGAGGGTATCGCAAGCAAATATCGCAGCATCAAAGAAAGGTTATCCAAATTTTATAGATATAGATATAGAATCTACAACTAGAATATTCGAAAGATAATTTCAAAATATAAATTCGGGCGCGCAAGCGTCTGTCAATCCAAAATCTCGTAGAGTCAAATTTCTCTGATATTCTCGATGAAATATATCTTCCCTGAGATGCCAAATCCTTCTATCAGAATTGAATCGGCGAATTCTAAAAATCAGCCTGTCAAATCAACAAGAGAAATCAATAAATTTCGAAAATATATTTTAATAATATAAATAAGACATGAAAATGCTATATTTTCCTTAAATGAATCAAATCATATATTTTCTAAATCATTATAAATTTTCTCTAATTTCAATATTATCAAATTTTCGAAAACAATATTCGAACCTAACGAGGTCCAGAAATACAAGAAATTTTTGCAACCTATCTTCAAAGAATCTAAATAAAATAATTCCCAGCAAAATATCTAGAAGACAAATCAATCTATATAAATATTTATCATAATCTTTTCATAGAATCTTTTATAGAACGTATTTCAAAAAATATTCAAATTTTGCGAAATATCAATATAAAATTTATCATTTATTTAATATCCCTTATATATCAGAAATCAATCCTCAATTCTATATATATATATTTTTTAATTAATTCGCTACCTATAATAATAGAACATATTTATTTCAAAAAATATATAAAATAAATAATCCGATGACCTAAGAATATAGAAGTTCGCACGTAGAGCGATGATCTCTCAAGATTTTAAGCTCGCACATGCTATTCAGATTCTGAAAAATTTTAAATCTCCGCCCCAAATCTTCACGTTCCGCCACGCCGCCGCGCACCCAGCCAGAGAGAGAGAAATAATTCGAAATCTTAGGAGATTTTGGTCACGCGGCCTCGGATCGCGCGGCCCACGCATCCAGCCCGTTCTTTCCGCCTCATTTATCTTTCTAGGGCTATCTGCGCGACGACTCGGAGGAGCACATAGATATCCGTGAACAGACACGACTAACCTGTAAATTCTAAAAGATTTTGGTTCTCCGTCCCGGGTCTACGCGCTCCTCCGATCAACCGCGCCGGCACGCGCATCTCGACGCACAATGAATATACAAGAACCGCACGTGACCAAGAACGGCCAACCTAATAGATTCACCGAGCTGCCGCGCAGATAGCCGAAGAGAGAGAAATTTGATCGAAATCTCGGGAGATTTCGGGTCGCGCGGCCCCCGCATCCAGCCCGGTCTTTCTGCCTCATTTATCTTTCCTGGACTATCTGCGTGATGGCTCGGGGGAGCGCATATATCCCCGTGGACAGATACGGCCAACCTGTAAATTCTAAACGATTGCCTCTAGCTTTTCCGAAGGGCTCTAAAATCTCCGAGATTTTAGAGCCCCTAGAAAGCCCGCAGGAGGCGTTTTAGAGGTGAGCCGGAAAGGCTAGGCCGCGCGCGGTCGAAATGGCCGCAAGTGGCCGCGCCGTAATATTGAGGTATGTTATTAAACGTTCACTTTTTCCTCATCCTGCAAATTTCAGACCATGCACATTCGTTTCACTTAATGAATTTGGGTGGGTAAAACACGTATGTGCAAGTGTGAGGATTCTGGGTTTCCAGCGTTCGATAATTAAGGTTTTTCGCCAGGGCTTCGATTTCTATTCCGTTTCTTGAGATTATCAATACTGACTCATGGACATCATCTATTTTTCTTGTTCTGCATTGCATTTCCAGGAGTCCAACAAGCAATCGAAGTTTCTAGCCGCACGCTGCCTGCAGTCCGAATCCAAGACCTTTCGTCGTTGAAATTTCGGATCTGCAATCAAAGCAGCTAAGGCAAAAATGGAAACCCCCGTGGATGCCTTTCAGCCGCATTCGACGAAGCTTGGTTTTAAGCCTTTAAACTTTTCAGATGGATGGGCTCAGGAACCAAAGCCACAGAGCGGGACATGGTGTTCTCCATCCGGATCATGTCCTGGGCAATGCTGGTTGCTGCTGGCAGTGACGGTTTGTTGAGTTCAGTACGGTTTGTTGAGTTCAGTATACGCAGGGCCCGTAGTCAAAGAATCATTTCCCACAGCGTCGAACACTCCAAGGTCCCTGCTTGCAGAGCCAAACCTCTCTGGAAGACGCAAGTTATATGTTTGTTTTCAAATGCGGGCGACCTGATTCTGATGAAGCCAAGGGCCGCAACCCGCGGAATCTTGTTCTAGGCCAGCTATGCTCAAGTTTCATTCAATCAGGCATTCTTTCCGCACCTTGCACGTTGAGGTCTCTCATGGTGCAAAGGACTTCAGTTCACTCAGCAAATGTCGGGTGTTGAACGGTTTGTCGAAATTATGCAAGCTCGACATACACCATCAGCTGCTTCATGGTTGGTTCATGTTTGCAGCTGTCGCAGGCAAAGATTGCGCATTGGAACGTTGCCTGTGAAGCCTTTTTCGACCCGGAGCTGAGCCGACTTTGTGCCAAGCTCCCAGACTCACTCCCAGCCTATGATGGGTTATGATCCATCTGTCCGGACATCCAAAACCATTGCCCAAGATTCAATTTCAGGTTTCGGAGTCAGGATTCAGGATGGAAGGCTGGGTGCTGCTACATTGACCATTCACGCCATGTCTCCACAATGTTGGAATCAATGGCGCGGAGCTCGGTGGACCACTTCGGGTCGTTTGCTTTGCTAGGCGCGTCCTTGCAAAACACTTCCGCAGAATCGTGACAAACAATGCTGTTCAATCCATCCAAATCGCATCGGCAGGAAAGAGATAGCTAATGAAGCTGCGGCTTCCTTCAGGCCTGTCTCCCTGCATTAGTGCGCGAAAGCCCGCCGAGCTACCTGGAGTTGGCTCCGGGTAGTGGACGTCCAGACGATTCGGGCGCCCATCTGGGAGACACAGCTTGCATTGTTGTATTTCTTACAGGTTCTGCAGGGGTTGCAGACTGCACAACCAAGGTGTTTTTGACCGAAGCGAGGCTATGATTCACTCTCCCAGTTTGCGCTGTTGTTGGGATCTAGTTACATCGAACATGTAAAGTCAGGCATTGAGCACAGGGAGTATGCGCAACTTCCAGTGTAGTAGCCGTAAGTTACAAAGAGCTTGGTATGCAGTGGAGACCACTCGATGCTTCTTCAACGCCCTGATGCCACATCCACGAGAGAACTGCAGCCTGCCTGAAGACAAGATCTCTTGAGGTGAGAGGTCGGGTCTGCCTCCTTCAGAGCAGGAGCTTCGTAAGCTGGAGAAAGCAGCTAACTTTGATGCAGGTTTTGGGGGTTTGGGTTCTCTGCGTTTGAGTGTTGGATTGCGCTTTAACTGCGCTGGGACAGCAAGATGCCTTCCCGTTCTGATATGGCTGTTCAGACGGTTTCATGGAGCCGTTTAAGGCATAAATGGGGAACTGATCATTTGATGCTGCGTATATTGTCTGGTTGCAGTGGCCTCCTTGGACGTCCGCATCCTTGTCAGCAGCTCCCCCAGTGAACAGGGGCGGTCCGTCGTCCAGCGGTAGCGCGGGATTCTGGCAAACATGGATGGCATCATGCCAGAGGCCGTGTCGTGACATGTATTTATGTCCGCATGTTTTGCTATTTTGTTTGCAGTCACGATCATCGTGTCTATATAGAGCCAAGGGTGGGGTATAAGCTTGGGCAAGCCTGTCGCCACGAACGCCAAGCCATTACTGCTGCAGATGTGATCCTTTTAAAGCATTTGGTGCGCTCGGGCTCATTAGTTCAGGGTGTGTTGGCTGCATGATTAACCAGTTCAGGGCCGACATACCAGCTGGGCTTCCGTCCTTCGTCCGTCTGGGTACACGATAAAGTCCGGGTCCTGCAGGACGACTTGTACTTAAATCATCTCATCTGGGAAGCAAATGCCACTGACGTCTCAGCAACCAGCCTTGGATGAAGCCTTTGACCTCCTTTTTTCCTCTGGTATTAGATGCAGTCTTGTCAGAGATCTTTGAGAATCTGAACTTGTCCTGCTGATGAGGCAGCGCTGGTAAAGAAGTTGCCTTTGGCAGCCTGCAGGCGGCAAAAGCATCAAAGCCAGGTGCTCTAAGTGCTTTAGAGCAGAGTGGGAGCTTCATTGAGGTCTCCCAGCGAGTTGCATCCTGACAGGTGGAGCAATAACTGGGCAGTCAATCACGTAGTCTATGCACCTATGCAGTGGCTGATACATTTTGCAAGGCTTCTGCTGCAAATCTTTAGCGTATCCTTTCGGGGCTGCGTGAACTGGAATTCTGCTCCATTGGATGCTAGCTAGCATCGGTAATGGCTGGAAACCATCAACGAACTTGCAGTTTTGGACTCCGGGAACCAGAGCCTCAGTGAACAACCTTCTAGCCTTTTGAATCTGTCCTGCAGCTATGAAAGCCATAATGAGAACCTCAAGCCGAATGCCCCGTCTTGATCTCTCGAAATCTGCAGTCACGAGCTACAACTATGACTGTCAGCGCCAAGAGAGATTCCTTCAGACAGAGTGGCCAAAGCCGACATTTACAATCCACTTTCCTGCATTTTCTCGCAGTCTCCCGCCTTTGACCTGTGTTACGTGTGTGGGCGCTCCTTGTGGCAAGCGGCATTGCGCGGCTGGACCCAGCTTGCGACCAACTATAACAACACGCACCCAGCCAGAAGTGTGCAAGTGGTCTTTGGACGTTTTGCATAAGACTTGAAGGGTGCAGAGGCGTCTATCGGCTAGGCAGGTAGGCTGTGCAACAATGGTCTGACATGTGGAGGTAAGCTGCCAACAAACGCGTAGTACTAATGCCTTCATGGCTTAGCGGCTATGCTTTGTGGCTTTCTCGCCTGCAAGGCGCAAGCAAAGCTAAGCTCAGCTTGAGAGACAAAGCCGCCATGTCACATGCTCAGATGCCTTGGATCGAGCTCGCATCTTAGCACCGCGCGTTTGTAGATGAATACCCAGAACCTCATCAACAACTATCCTGCTTCAGCCCTGTAGTTGACGTCAGGTGCTAAGAAGAGGCCTGCGACGGGCTTCGGTCAACGGCCAATGGGAGGCGAAATAAAGTTTTGTAGCTAACGGGGGGCCCCAAACACAAGAAACATGCCTTTTCTGATGCATCAGCATTTCGGCGCGGAAGGTGTTTCCAGCTGATGAGATCGTGAGCTCAAGGTTGAACTCCAAGAATCAGGAAGGCCCGTCTATCAGGTTTCTAGCCGGAACCACACGTGGTTCAGCTAGGGCTCGGATGCCTCGCGCCCCGACTCAGACTCGCATCATGGTCCCGCATCATCATCACTTCCAGCCACCCTTCTCAGTCAGAGCTGGCTGAAGGCTAGCCATCGACATGCCTTCCAGAGATGATGCCGCTGAGGAGCTTGGGAATCCAGTCGCAGAATTCCTCATCCACCTTCGGCTTCCCGATGCCAGATCCGAATGATGTAGGAGGTATCTGCCTCGGTGATCTGTCCCCATGTTGCAGACTATATTGGGGACTATACTAACCTACAAGAGTGGCCCTAAATTCACCCTGACAGTAGCACAGTAATGTGCGTGTGGCAAACATGCATATCAGCAATGGCGGGCACCAAAGTAGTCTGAGTCCTTGAGTAGCACGCCTGTCGTGGCGTTGCATGGGGTCTCGCCAAACTGCTGTGTTACTTGCCACTTGAGACTTGGCACCCACTCTGCTTCATTTGGAGGCGGCGGTGTACGCGGCGGCATCTCCAGTCTGAAGCAAAGGTTTTCCTTCGTCAAGGACTCGCCTTGGAGCTTGGCGTGCTTAGCAAGAGTACGCAGCTAACTTTGGATGTCTACTTCTGCGGTCCCTGATCATGCCACTGACCACATGGCCCAGGGCTGGCAGTCGAATGCAACCAGGGGTGGCTGTGAAAGCAGCCACCCAAACACTCATGACGACATGACGATCGACAGAAGAATCACCAGTCTTTTCCTCCCCAGGCGCAAGTATCTAAATTCGACATCACGTTGAAGATTCAAGGACAGCAAAAACTGCAGCCAAATCTACACAGAAGCTGCTGGGCTTCTGATTGCGTAGTTCGCGTGGCAACGGCGGTGTTGGCAATTACCGCTTCACCTTGACTCCAGGCGTGCTTCCCGCTGTGTAGGATCACAGTTGTTGCCACCATGCTGTTTCTTTTTTGAAGGCCTTGTGAAGCATGCAGGATTGTGTGGGACTTCACAGTCAAGAATTTGCTTATCGGTGAACATTGCCGTGTGTGAAACCCTGTGTCGTACGCCAACATCCGCCCTTATGACGCTCTTCCGAACCATGCCCCACAAACTCTCTACAAGTTGAGTGGCTTGGAATCCCCGCCTGACACCTTCTCAAGCCAAAAGCCATGGAAGGACTGAGACACTGCATGAGCCCTCCCTCTTGTGCCAGCCGCGTAGCCATTATCTGCTAAGAAGTAGGAGATGGTCTCAGCCAGCGCTGGTATGTACTCCGGGATGTACCTGCGCGAGTCTTGGAAAGGAACGCTTGGTTTGGCCTCGCGCGCCTGACATTTGCCCACCCGTCCCCAGCAGTGAGGCCGTCACACAATCTCTGAACCCACGATGAAGTCAAAGCTGCGTGGCGGGAGGCTAGACCTAGACTGCAACTGCCACCCTTCAAAACGAAGGAACCAGCATGGCCGAAATCAGCCCCAAGCATCCTTCCACAAAGGAGGAACCCTGACCTCGAAAAACATGCCCCCCGTTTTGCAACAGTCTGTTGCGGGAATACTTTTCGCTGTTGTTTGCATCTTCAACACCTCTAATTGAAGCTGGGTGCATTGCTCTCGGGATGAGATCTGGTAGGATTGTTTGGGCCGAATTTCCGTCATCAAGTCATTTCGACAGCTCTTCTCTGAGATACCCACAAAGCGCGCTGCCGACAGAGACATCATGAGATCTCGAAGCAGCGTTGTGTCGTGTAGTCTCATCGAAATCCCATTGAACCAAACCCCGTGCCTGGTCAAGGAAACTTGCCTGGAACACTTCACAAGATTCTTGCCAAGTCCTCAAGGCAAAGGGCTGCTCTGCCGGGGCCCGGCCCCACTCCAGGTGTGCGGCATCTAGGGACCCTCCAAGTCCGAGGCCTCAAGAGGTTAGGCATGTCGAGCCGACTTTTGGCGTGAAGGAGCTCAAGTATTGAAGTACAGGTGTGCAGGTACAGCAATAATTAATCCTGTGATCACATCTTGCTTGGGGCGCTTTTTGCTGAGGCATTGGACCGGGCAGTGCTCTCCCTGTCTTTGCTCTTCACACGCCGCACCTTTCGGTCCTTCCACTTAATTGCACTTTGCATCTCAAAGCAGGTCCAGAAGCCAGGCAGATGGTCGCATGTTCGTGTGGTTCGGGGCCTTGAGTAACACAGTGGGATCCAACAACGTTACCTCCTGACCTGCCTGACAGAAATCGAAGCCTCACATACAGCCACGTATTCAAGCAAAGAAAATGACTTGGCTTCCCTCAGCACCACTGCTGTCTCTTCCGCGGCCACAGCTCTACCAATATCCATCGGCCCTGAGCGTCTTAAGCCCTCTTGAGCCTGCGCTGTCTCTGCGATCAAGCGGCCATCGGCAAAGGCGGAAGCATTCCTAGCAAGCAGCCCCGGGAACATCTCTGCCCTCATCAAGTCATACGCACATTTTCCAAGCTTCACCGGAACCTGCAAGACCCCAAATGAACCGGCGAAGTGTTTCATGCTGCGAGGATTGCTTGCCAGCTGCTACTAGTACTTGCTGGTGCAACAGAATCCTGAGGGAAAGCTTCCGAAGTGGAAGGCGCAGGCTGCCAGCCTCAATTACAGTAGTTTAGGCACACTATAGTTAGCTTCAAGCCGAGTACTGCCAACGTGACACAAGTCAGAAATGCTTCCCAAGCGCGATTCCTACTTTTACACCGACCTAAACCCCCCAGTTATTCACAGCAGCTACAGCCCAAACACCGTAGGTCCAAATCAAAGACCCTACCTGAATGGCCTAGACCTCTGAATCTTCATCAAGGACATATGAACTAATCTAAACTCCGTTTATCCCTCCTGATAACCCCTATATCACCCCACATTTAGGAGTTCAGACTATAGCTCAGAGCAGCCATGGCTTGAGCAAGGCTCTTCTCGAGGAGTGGGATCTCTTCCTCGCTGCCATCTGTGGCACTGCTCTGAGCTCCTTGGACTTTAACAGTAATAGTAGTAGTGATAGTGATGGTGGTGGTAGCAATGGTAACAGCAATGGTGGTCGCAATAGTATCTTATAGTAATAGTAATTGGTAGACTCCAAGTTCGGTCTTCGGTTTAGATTTGCAGGGCTTGGGCGTGCATGCAGCTGGGGCTGCGAGGATGGATGCAGGATCCATCGTCTGTTGCAGTGAATAGAAGGAACACTTGCGGAATCATGCTTGCTGACTGCTTCTCCTAACATCGAAATTTGGATTACGGCGCCCGTGCGGGTCCCTGTGTTTGGGCACATTCCTATGTATGAGATCTGAGGTCAATCTGTGCGAAACTATGGAAAAGCGCTCATGTGCACGAAAAGGGTGGTAATTTCAGGGAGCAAAAACACCGCAAAGTCACCCTCCGACGTCTGATTTGGAGCAATTTGCCATAGTTTCGAGCACATTTCGCAGTCCGGGGCCTACGGCGAAAACGGCGTTTTCGTTCATGCCGCTTTTGCAAGCTGTACAAGCTCGCTCAGGAACTTTTTACTGGCCCTTTGTTTGGGCGCGCAACTTTTGAGACCCTGTGTTGTGGCAGCTCATCGTAAACAGACTGCTCGACCATGGCGAAGACACCACAAACAAAACCTTTTGTGAGGCAAAACTGCTGCGTGGGAAGCGGTCCCCTGGCGGAATTACCCCCCTCCCCCCGCCGCCCCTGCATCGTCTACAACAGGAAGCAGAAAAATGTGCAGAAACGCACGGGTCTTCTCCAAGCCTTGAAACTCCGCACTCTGCTGCCCTAGTACTTCAGTCAAAGGCTGCCAAGCGACCCAAAGTGGCTCCTGTGTGCGCCTGGCAGAGTGCGCTTCTCTGCGTGCTTTGCAAACACTGTGGAGCCCTGCTGCGCGCGATGCGCTCCGCGTCATGAACCTACATCTAGCTCGAATTCAAAGGCTGCAAACTTGCTCTTAAGCTCCTTGAAGCGATCCGGACCAAAGCCTGAAACCATCTGAAACCAAAAGCTCTGAACGCACCTCTCCTACTTCCAACAACGCTGCCCTGGGCGCCAGCAGTCCGCATCCGGCGCCAAGCTCCAGCAGGCGGCTGCGTGGAAGCGTTGAAGCAGACCGGAGCAACAGATGAACAGAGGCCCAGGCCTGGGAACTTGATCGAGACAAGCAGAAGTAGGAGAGACTCCAGATTGCACAGCAATACTACCTCCTGCTGCCACCGCGGCCTCCACTGCCGCCGCCGCTGCCGCCACCACCGCTGCCGCCACCGCCGCTGCCGCCACCGCCGCCGCCGCCACCACCGCCGCCGCCGCGACCACGACCACGACCACCACTTAGAGACACATTTTCGTGCGAAATCTAAAGGCTCCGAGGCTCAGGGATACGACGAGGTTGCATGAGACACTGACCTGCGGATATCGAAACTTGCGCCCTCAAAACAGCTGCCTCAAAGCTGGCAGCTCTTGAAAGGTCATTAGCACTACGTAGCGAAGCTCGACCCCTTCTTCAGACATGTGCCTCCCCCGAACTCTTCTGTACCATCCCTGAACCCTGCGCTTAGATTCCCGCACCTCTCCAGCAGATTGCACCTGAGCTGCTATCGTATCTCGGTGATTGGCTGGGCTCAAGGCAACCAGTCATGAAGCATGCCGCATAATTGCATCTCCAACATGACATGTCCACTCATTCAGTCTGGGCAGGAACTCAACGAACATGATGTAACTGTACAATACTAAGCCCTTCATCACGAGGGGCTGCAGGCAAGTCTCTGAATTTTGAGATCCCAGCCCCGACTTGTGGGGGGGGATGCGCAAAGTGCTTTTGGAGTTGAAACCTGTCCACCTCTTGCAGATGTGGCGCCACTGGCGCCCATAGGCCAGCCATACAACCTCGCAGTGCAATCGAGCAAGGCAGTTCTTCTTATTTCTTGCTGGGCGAGTGAACCAAGGCGCCTGGGAAGTTCGGTCCAAAGACCAGGCGGAAAGTGTTGGTACTCGGTTTTGCTAGTTCAAGATGCAGGCCTATGTCAGGGCTCGAACCATGAGCCCGAAGCCTTGCCTGAAAAACTTGGATCATGCATCGCAAGTCCATAAGCGCCTCCTCACATAAGCTTCGAAGTGAAAGAATTGTCGACACTAACATCCGTGGCCGGGGCTGAGGTTCCCAGCATCAAATCCTAAAGCACTAGTTTCAACAAACGCCACGTGCAACTTCGTACACTATCCCAGGACTATTGGGCAAACCTTGTTCCAAGCGAAACTGCCCATTTTCGTTCACTTGACCTGGGGCCATTCCCACCGAAAGCAATCAGTAAGTAAGCAGGTGCACCGTATGCACCAAAACGGAGCCCATCACAAAACCATACAAAACCCCTTGCCCATATCCGCCAACACCTACCCAAGAGGATTTGGCCATGACCCATCCAAGGCCTCAGCTGCAGCTTCCCGTCGACATTAGGAAGGCTGATGCCCTCTGGGACATCGACTTCGAAGACACGCCTCAAGGCTGAACAAGTCCCGTATTAGATGATATGGCCGGAACCATCCTCGTCTTCCTACTGTGTTTGTTTCGTTAAAGCCTCTGCGGCTGCCGCACTAGTGAAGATTGCAGCTGGACACGCGCGTGCACAGTCAGCTTTCCAAATCCCATGAGCGCGTTCTCTTCTCATATACTTCATGTTCATGAAGCATTTGTCTATCCAGAGGACGGTAGCAGAATCCGACACGGGAGCAAGGTTGCGTTTCAATTCACTCCAGGAAGGACTAAAGAAAGTGGAAGACCTACTACAGCACCAAAATCCAAAATCGACACTCGTCGTTGGCGACCAGCCCTTCCTTCTCATCTTTCCGTTTTCCTTCCTCCATCTTTGATGCGTGCACTAGCATCCCACCTCGATGGCAACTAGCTGCATCCTGCGCAACCCTAGGCTAACAAGCAAAGATTTTGTGACGTATGCGGTGAAGCTGCTCGACATACTCATCTTCTGCGAAGAGCATCGTGGATCTACAGTCCGAAATGCGTTCTTCAAGTTCTAGTATCTTACATTATGCCATGTGTTGTCGTTCGTGCTGCTCTGTAGACATGTGATATTGCCAACCACTCGGAATGCAAACGCATTTGGCTGCTGGCTACCGACGCTCCTGCTCACGACCTGTCTGCGCCGGCTTGGGCTGCGAGGTTTGAGGCCAGCGGGGCACTTGCTACATTGATGGAAGGTGGAACTTCACTGAGCTCGTTTCATAAGTCTTTCTTACTGTTGCTTCTAGGACTCGCGAGTCAGAACTGTAATTCTCATGGCGTCAGTCTAGCGCACTACACTGCTTGAACCTTAAAACAGCGGGCCCTAGTCCAACCATCCATCTATGTTTGGTAACCTCACAACCACTGTTTTTCTTTAATGCTCTTGCTGTCATTTGGCTTTTTCTGCTACTGTCATTGCCATGCTGATGGGCAGCTCACTCAATCAAGCATGTTGGAGTTCCACTCTTCTACGGCTCTACTGCTGACTATTCCTGTAAGGTCTGCACTGACTTTGGCATCAAGCGCTATTGTTCCTTGCAACTTCACTTGAATGATTGAAGCAACCTGTGGAGCTATGATGTACTTTGGCTGGGCGAGGTTAGGCAAGGATTCCACATTGCAACACATTAGCCTGTTGCAGTTCTTTGAACACAGGAGTCCCAGCAAGATGGAGATCTTAAACCACCGGGCTCAACCATCCCCTGATCCGCTTTTTTCGGGGCAAACCCCTTCTAAGCTGCAAGCTGGAGTCTGGCTCAAAGGCCGCCGGATCGCATGAACCGTTGGACTCTGAAGGTCGGGTTTGGGCTACTGGATTGTGGCTTGAGAATGGTTTGACGCTCTACGGAGCTGAGGCTTTGAGAGTTTGTGAAACAAGTCTGGGCATGGGGTTCAGGGCTAACGACTTGACAGAACGTCACATAGCAAACTGTGCCCGGCCTGGGCTTCCAATCTAGTGTTCGGGCTTTGCACTGGAGGCTCCAGGTTTGCTTTCAATGCAGCGCAACATGGAGTGGACCTGGTGTGTCAAGGCTTCTAGTCCCTCGTCCACAGGGCTTTTAAGTGATCATTTTGTGTGGCGCTGTGGGCATGGGTTCGGTTCCGCATTATGAGTCATCTTGGCAATGCAAAGGCAAGATTTGACTATTACTCCAGAGTCCGAACTTCAACCATGATGACCTGGGTACGTCTCAAAATCCGTGCGGCTCTGGCATTTCCATTATCTACACTCCAGGAATTCCCAAACAGTCAGATCCTCAATATGGTCAAGCTTATGAGACGCACCCATGTGACCCCGCATGGGATCTATTCTGTACAGAATTAAACAGGGCAACGCCTTTGCACCGCCTGCTTCTTGGCGGGCTTGTCGTCCTCAATCTGCTGCAGGGCATCCTGCAGCAAGAAGCTTCCAAGTCATGAGCCTTCCTGCATCTGAGCTCTTGATGGCGGAGGAGGACTTTGAGATAGGACTTCGTACTTCTCAGTGTCACAGGCAGAAGGCACGAGCGACGCTTGTCCAAAACAAGCGCTTTAGCACACTCCTCTCAAGTCTCTGGCAGCTCACACTAGAAAGCAGTTCTTAAAACATCGCGAGCGCCTATCAGGCGAAGGCACAGGTACTTTCCAACACCACAAGCGCCGCCTGCTTGCTCATTTCCAAAGCGGCATGCCTGCTGCCAGGAAAAACTCTCTTGAGTTGTCACGGCTTTGCATGGAGTCTGTCAGTCCCAAGTCCGACTCACTACTCCGGATGTTGCCAATGTTTCACCACATGGTTTGGAATGTCGTGGAATGTGAATGGTATGACCCTAGAAGTAGAAGGCCTTGCTGCCTGCTGGATGATCATGGCGCCGCCTGCGGTGGAATAGAACTTTGGCTAGATTTTGCACTTAGACGGGGATCAAACTCTTGGGCTTCGGTCCCTCTCGCAGTGGTTTGTAACAACTTTGGGAGAGGGTGAGCTGCTTCCTCTTGCATAGTACCCACCACTTCCAAGCCCAAATGCTGAACGCTAAGCCCCGTCAGGCGCCCAGCATGGCCTCCAGCCACTACTGCATACCTTGGCTCACCGGGAAGGCAAGAAAAGCAAGTAGACCTTCAACCTCCAACCCTGCACTTGCCCCTGTTTTTCTTCCCAAATTGCATATCTCTTGAAAAACATGTGCGTCCTGTCCTCGACCAAGTGACGCTGGGGCCATGGCCAATAGATTCAATAGATAGCAGCATGTTCATCAAAACCAACTGGCCAACTGACGTGGTCATACTCAGTATTCGCCATACCACATTCATGCCGCCTCTGAAGCCCTCGAGTTTCCTTGAGCTCAAGTTTGCCACTGCAGCCCAAAAGCATGCCGCCGAGGTATGTGGTGAGCAAGGAGAGGCCTGCGACCTTATCAGAATTCGCACCAAAAAATCCAGGCAGCATAAGTCGGACACTTTATAGGCAGGAAAAAGTACCGGCTCCGTGAGGCAGCGCACTTCGCTAATAGGGCAAGTCGGCACCGCGCCACCCTGCGCAGCGCATCAACACTATAAACATACCACTGCTGTTGCCGCTTCTGTTGCCGCAACGGCGATAAAACCGTATCACCCAGCTTTTCGCAAATGGCCCGAATTCAGGCAGTAGGGCTCGCGCCGTAGCCAGCAAGAAGAAGGCCACACCAGAGAGGACTGACGATCCATATGACCTCAAACAGACACCACATGCGCGTTTTTGGTCCATGGGGCGTTGGGAGCGAGTTTGAACATGCGCACCCATGCAGAACTGCGGATATGTGGGTGAAAAGCGCGTGCTGCTGCAATCTGGAGCTGCCGCAGCCAATCGGGCCCCAGCACTATGAGCAAGTACATGTTGTAGAGAAAGTAGCCTGGACGGCCAGCTTTGTAATGCTTACAGGTTGGCATGTAAACAAGATTCTGGGTCAGGAGTCTTTGAAGGAATGTGTCTGATGAGTACCGATTCTTCCTTCTCAGCGCTGTTCGACTTTCGCCAGCGGCCAAGCTTTGCATACCCTACGTATGGTCCCTCAATGTTGCCAGGACTGCCTAGGCTTCCTAGGCAGAAGCATTGTGACAGTGCTCAAAGGGGCTTGTTGCCTCCGGAAGCCACGAGTTTAAATTGACTAGTGAACATGCGATGAATTTACTTTGATAATGAGCACACGCGTACAGAAAACGAGTGTTTCAAATGGGGCTGTCTGAAATTCGGTCCAAACTGTCTACTGTACAGCCCTGGCATATAGCTGCGCTCTGTTGTGCAGAGCCCATATGGCTCATCTTGCGGTGTGCTGGCCACACGCCAACAACTTGTGGCATTCACTTGAACAATGCAACCGCATCTCAACTGTTGAAGATCCGAACACGTAGTCACATAGACCATCTTGAACCTGCAAATCAAAACCCTGGGCTTTAAAACCCCAAGCATCAGCTCAGCTGAGATGCAGAAAGCTCCGATGAGGCCAAGAGTTAAATTCACCACCTGTTTCAGCGGATGGGAGCGCAAGGTTTACAGGCATGCTTTAGACAACTATCTCTGTTACAGCGGAAGATTGCATGAGATAAGAGAGATATGTGCATTAATGAATAGGATAGGCTAAGTGCGGAGCAGCGATCGTGTCTTGGTCCCGCACATACTGCATGATGAGACGGAAAATCATGATGTACACTGACTCATCTCGCGCACCCACGGTGAAGAGAACCTTGCCAGGCAAGGAAACACATGCTTGGACCTGCTGCTCCCGGTGCTCTTTCCTGACTGGGAAGGCCGCATTCAGCGTCTTCCAAGCACATGGTCCGAAAGCTTGGATAGAGAGAGAGCACCGCCCATCTACATGCCGGTCAGCATTTTGCAACATGACGCTTATGCACGCCAGGTACTCTCTGCAAGAACTGCCAGTTGCAAGCACCAAGGAGCATTGTAGAAGGTGCATTGTGCTGCAAAGTCCTTGCCTCAGCCAGCGCTGGCAGAGTGGAAGACTGCAATTGCACTTCGCTGCTTAGCTTTGCGAGGTCAGGAACCTGATCAACACACCGTACAGTCCATTGAGGTTGAAACGATTGCCAGTGGGTTCCAGTGAGCATGTTCAGACTATGTTCAGGTTGGAAACATGGCTAAAACCCTTGGATGACTTGGCATCTGCTGGCGAACTTTCAAGTTGCCAGTGCTTCGTTCCATGCCATGAGTTCAGGTAGATGGTACTTGTACGTGTCTGCGGGCGCTTCCAGGCTCCGCTGTCGAGTAAAAACCTGCAGAGAAAGTATCTCATGATACCAGAATCTCCAGCCAGTGTTTGACTACGCTTCAATGTTTGGAGCTGTGATTTCGGGTTGGAAAGCTGCGTATGCCTGAAGTGAATGAAGATCAATGGTGCCGAGCTGCCTGATTGCCAGGCATTCCAGAAACTTCTGCGCACATCCTGGACCAGACCGGCAAGATCTTTGCCAACATGTCACGCCAAGAAAGGAGCACTGGACTACGTATGTGTGCACCTAGCTACATCTAGATGTGCAACGCAGCTATCATGGTTATCCATTTGCGCTGGGGTTCCTCCAACCCTCGTGGATCCTGTTAAAGGAACACTTGTAACACCTTTCAGCAATTTGCAAGCCAAACAACTTGACCGGTCCAACCCTCCAGACCTGCACGCCAAAGGAGGACCAGATTCCGACCTCCTGTCGCCCTTCAGACAGGACACGGTCCCGGTGCTTCTGCACCTTTGGACGTTTAAGGGCTCAGGCAAATTGGCACGCAATTTCGGCAGAGGTGAAAGCTTATTTGGGTGGTGCCTGAGCTGGGCAGCAGTTAGGATTGGGCAGGGTCAAAGTCGGGGGACTGTAGTTTGACATTCGAGGTTGCGCAAAAATCTCTCGCACCTTAAAAGGGTAGTTAGCGCGGCAGGAGGTTCTGATGACCTTGAGAAGCAAATCGTTTAAACACTGAAGTATCAAAAGCATTTGGCACTTTCAGCAAAGTCGCTCTGGCCACTTCGGCCCTGGCCATCTGGACCTGACAGCCAGGGGCAACGTTAACCTTGCCAACGATAAAATAGTCTCAGTCTGAGTGGCGGCTTGTGCTTCAGTGTTCGGGGTGCAGCATGAAGGGAACAAAGGGCTGTGGGTTGTCTCTGCGTTCAGAAAGCAGGATACCAAAGCCTGCAAAGGTTTGGGTTGCTTCAGTGGTGATGAGTAGACCTCAACAAAACCAGCAAGGATGCTCTTGGTCTTGGCCTCTACATTAAACAAATATGTTGCCTTCGCGGGGAATTTTGGCACCGGTCACAAATATCATTACCTGTAAGCACAGCGTAAGAACTGGTTTGTTGCTTTTTTTGGCTCTCACGCGTTCGCGGACACACGCCGCGCGGCCGCCCGAGCAGCATCGCGCACAGCCTCTGCCGCTCGGCGCTTGGCACGCTGAAGGAACCTTGGAGGCTCGGAAACGGGAGTCTCACCCTGCTGGGGCAAAAATCGTGTCAGTGCTATGTGGAGTTTGCGGAGTTCACTGCATGCGGTGACTTTCGTGCTCGGGCATGGCCTGAGATACGGGATCTTTGTTCCGGGTCTTGCAGTTCCTCTGCTTTGAAGAAGACTTACACCATCATGTAAGGTAGCTATCCACCAAACTAGGAGCCTGGAATGTCTCAGGCCAACACTAGCCTAACCTACCGACGTTCTGAGAGCACCCAATAGATGATCTTCCCTGAAGTCCAACATCCTGAAGTCCTGTGCCCCGATCTTCCTCTCAACTAATCTTCCCCCGCAACTTGATCAAAACTCCGCAACTCCTTTCCCTACTGTGAGGACTCCACATCTGGTCAGACCCGTCAGACACGGGACTCAGCGCGTTCGATGTGGCCGGCGTGAGGATCGCGGTTCAGGTCCGTGAGCCCAGCCTCATGTGAGTGACGCTGCCAGTCCTGAGGACACGAAGATAACAGACCACCCTGCATGAAAGGCCTCAAGGCCCAATCATCTCCAACTATCTAAGGCCTGCCCCTGCATGGATAGTTGATGAAATTTCCTGCTTTTGTAGCTTCTTTTGGTCATGGAATGGTATGTGTTTGGATGCAAGTGGGGACGGCCTATGAGGTCAGAATGCCATCTTGCATTAACTAATTCTCCCAACTGCGGAATTTTCTTCTACCTGCAGCCCAGCAGCCAGGTTCGATTTCTCCACGGTGTTCAGCACCTCACGTTGACATCGCTCAATGGCAATTCTGGCTCTCCTTGCCTTCAACTGCAAAGCCTGCATAGGGAACGGCATCTCCCCTTACAAGCACACCCTGGAATCGACAACAACATTTTGGTGAACACCGAGGGCTACAAGGCTCAAAGACATGACGCCATCCCGAGACCTTGCCACCCTGAAGCCAAAGGTTCGAGAATATCTTAAATCAGGCACCTTGTCTTTCCCAGACCCAAGGAGGTTGTCCAGGGCTGCGAACTTCCCACCCAGCTTTGCAGACTGCCGCCTTCCGAGCTGGGAAGTTTAGCTTTGACCCAAGACCCTAGACCTCAGTCCAACGCCCCCAAATCCTAAGTCCAAACGTCAAAGCCCTAAGTCCATCCGAAGCACAACAAGCCGCGCAGGTGTGCCGCTGCATCTAAGGGAGTGTCAGACACTTAGGCGCGCAAAGTAAGACTGCCAACTCCAAGTCCTAGAAGCCCAACGCCAAAATTCCAAACGGATGAATCTTGTCTCTCGATACACTGCTTTCAACTCTCCCTTTTCATGGGCCCCTTAAACGGTAAACCTCTAGCTCAACTTTTGTTGAGTCTCTACACCTTAAAATTTCGTCACATTGCTGACGCTGCCTAACGCTCTACCCACTGAGGCTTAGACCCTTCTTCGGTCTCAAGTCCCGACTTCCAGGATAGAAGATTTGGATACATGTGTGTACATGCATGTACAAGTATGAAAATTCCGGGGGCAAGAGGATCCCCCTCAAGGGGGACCCCAACGGAGCAGATGGGAGCACTGCTTGCTTCTTGGCATGGGCAACAATGATCTTTGAATGGAGTTTTAGTACTTCATGGCTAGATTAGGATTCCGTGCATCGTGTTTCCTGCGTTCATCGGGCATCCTACAGTTCAGACGCTAAGACCCGCGTCACGACCAGCGGCTGCTGCAAGCCCAAAGCCAATCAAACAGGTCCCGAAACAAATCACACAACAGTTTTATCCCTTTTTGGGTGGAACCTGACGTCAACATTTTGTCCTCTCTGACCAAATCCTGAACGAGTCATCAGAGGCCTCTTCTGTGTCATCAGGAACTGTCGCTCCTCTGCACTGCCAGACACCAGCTGCCGAGTCACAGTCAGCGTCTCCCCAGCAAAGCGCACAGACTCTTGGACCTTCACCGTCCTTCATGGCAGGACTTTTGTATTCGGTCCTTTCCCCTCATTTCTTTTCGAAAAAAGTACCTGGGATGCCTCAGAGTAAGATTCCCAACAAGGTCGTCATAACTTTGCTGGAAGACCTCTGCATCGAAGGCGGTACTAGGCTAAAACCATCAACAACAAACTAGAGCACAGCTGACCTGGCCTCAATCCCTCTCTAACATCCCTTGTCCTCATCTGCTTGTGAAGCCCAGTGCTCCCCAAACTCTGCGCCGACAACTCCTCCTTTGTCAAGCGGACTTTGCGCTTCATGTCTGCAGCGGAAGGCTGCTCGCAGTCTGTGGGCAGGTTGCTGAACTTGACCTGGTCTTCTTGACGTGGTCGTCTCAACTCGATTGACTCTGTAGGGCCGCATTGACGAGAATGCAAATTCACCATGTGTTCCATCTCTAATGGAATTCCCCGTGCTCATTCATCGGTCCCAGCATCCCACCGAAGCAAAACAATTTCCTGGTGTGCGGTCCAGCAGCAACCTCTGCCAGCACATGGGACTTGCTTACTCTTGGCTGCGGCCGAACCACGCTGGATGTCGTACAGCCGGCCTCTGACAGTTGCCCAGATTGTTGCCCAGTGAAGGATTCAGGGCGGTCCGGGTGGAACAGGAAGTAATTCTGACCTACCTGCAAAGTACTCCCCAACCTCCTGGCCTGTTCTCGCGATCTCCGTTTCAGTTCGCGAATCGCCAAGCTTCCGTCGTCAGCATCTGTTGCCTGCCCGTACTTTGCTATCTGCGCGATCACGGCCTGGCCGCTTTGAGAGGGAGCGCTCCTGAGCATGCGGCCGAGTACGCAAAGAGCTCCGCTAGTTTTTGTTCCACGCTGCTGACAAACTTTTAACCAACACATGCTACACGGAAAGGCGGTCGCAGTAGTGGTTGCCGGGTCAGTCAGATCAAGCTGTCACGTTTGTTTTGATACTGATGCCACTTCCACAGTAGCTTAGCCTGTAAACACCAACTCAATCGCTAAAGATGGGAGAACAAGGGAGAACATTTCCTACAGCTCGCCAAGTTCCCAAATAAAAGCCGATGACACCAACAGCATGCAATTTGCAAAGGCAAGGTTCTTTGCTTTTGGAGCATCAGGCCGCTGCAAGGTGCGAAAGAGCGCGTCGTCCAAGCGGGGCCGCCTAACCCATTTCTTGGCATCCTCGGCCTCCTTTATCTGAATTCTTTGTTGACCGGGCTTGTGATGTGTTGAGCCCCAGCAAGCGTGCAATGCAAGGTCTTGGGCTACAACCCACGCAGCAACTCAGCCTTGCTGAGAGAGGGGTCTGCGAAAACACTAAATTACCCTATGCCCTATGTGAAATCAAACCAACAGAGTGACTTTTCCGAGTGTTGCAGCAAATGCTGTTAATGTCAAATTCCCAGCAGCTACTCTACTAGGTAGTTGTGAGAAAGGTTAACCTGTCCTGTTGCTGCATCTCCGCCCAGGTTTGCTCCGCTAAGCGGCTGCGTGTGCGCTTCGCCTCCCAGCATTCTACGTGTTCAGAGCTGACTTGGGTTGGGTTCAGTGGAGTGGACTGCAGGGGGGCAGTGCATAACTGCATCCCTGATCTAGCCGCTAGGCGAACAGGACGTTATATTATCCTTCAGACCTTTGAAACCACATCCAAGACCTGAAGCTGCATACCCAATAGTCTTTCTGAGCCAGGGATGGCTGAGCAGTGCGGTCAAACGCTGGCTCACACAATCTTTGTAGCAGCTGCTGCTGCTGCTGGTACCACAAATGCCACCGTGTCAGTGCCATCCTACTGCAAAAACCTTACTCTCGCCTCCCTGGCAGCTGCAGCGTCGACTTTTGGCCGCTTTGCCTTGGGCTCATCCTGCGCAGTTTGCAAAGTTTTGACACCCGACAACAAATTGAGCAGGACGACTTCAGCAGTCAGCTCCTTCAGGTAGCATCGTCTCTGTCACGCAAGGCAATAGATGAAGATTGTAGAGCTTGGGCAGGGGTAGAAGAAGATGATGCTTGAAAGGTTGAATGATGTTTGGGCTCAAGGTTCACAATCTGCTTCGAAGAGTGGATGTCTGTCGCTTGCAACTGCAAGCCCTCCCAATGTCGGTTCATGAGACCTCAACCATGCAAGTCCGCAGTTCCAGAGTGGTCCTCCGCTTCGAAGTCTTTGTCCTCAGCTCGCCATCAATCTTCCCGGGTGTATGAGGCAATTTTGCGACTTTTTGGCTTGATTGTTTCGGCGCTCAGAGGCTTCAATTTTAAGAGGCGGGTCTACAGGCGAAAGTCGGCAAACGCGGGAGGAATGTTAGGCGTGGATTCGAGCTGTACCTTTTGTATGAAAACAGCTTCATTCTTCCCTCTCAGGCCCTCTTTGCCCTGACCACCAACCTTGGAACGGGAAGCCATGCGAGTCAAGCTGTGTCGGCCGTGAACAATAACATATCAACAACATCAGTGTGTTGGAGGAAATGCCTACTGCGCACCAACTAAACAGTTCCTGAAATCGTGCAACTCTGGACATATACATGTATTTACTTTCAGTGAATCTGCGCAGCAATCTCTTTACAATCGCCAGAGCAACTGGTACCATACCACCCGCAAAATTACCCCAAACACCTGAAAGGCGGCGTGCTGCAAGTCATGCCCAGAATTTTGGGAAATCGAGCCCTGTCCCGCTTTTCATCCAATATCCCGTCGTTGAGCCTAGGGTCTTCTGGGTCCGAGTCCGGGAAGACTGCGGTTGCCAGCGTGACCATGTCGCTCAGCCACGGAAACAAGTCCCAAGCAGTGTCTCATGTATCCCAATCCAGGATGTACTCGTTGTATCTTACTTCTTCTACGCCACAGCTGGCTTCAACACTCGCCCAGGCGAAATGGGGCTTGCTGAACTGCAGTCCGGAGTGTAGAATCCACCCTGAAATCGATGCTCGAAGCCCAAACAAGGATCCCATGCTGCAGAAAGTTCAGCCATATAGTCGGCATTAGCGACATATTGCATGACCCTCAGGTGTGAAGGTGATGTACGGAAGACTGAGCCCGTTGCTGTCCGGTTCCTTCGCTCTCAGAGTCCAAACGTTGCAAGGGAATGCGAGCATTTCATGCTTGAACTAATATTGTCATATATCATCTTATCTTACACCTTCAGGGCAAGTATTCTCACGTGGTGGAATCCCTTCATCGAAGCCAGAGCCTTCCAAAACATGGTGGAAGATGAGTAAGTTGAGCGTAGCTTCAGCTGCGATGGTTGTACTACCATCCTATGAATTATTTACTTCGAGCATCCCCACCCTAAAGCCGTCATTTCATTGCACAAGAAGTGTATACAACGTTTCCCTGCCCCCTGTCAATTGTCTTCCTTGCAGCATTGCAAATGCGCTGCAAGAATATTGATACTCTGCGGTCGGGCACTGCAGACATACTCTGCGGTTGGGCACTGCAGGGATACTTGGTGGTTGGGCACTGCAGGGATACTTGGTGGCTGGGCACTGCAGGGATACTTAGTGTGCAAGGATACTTTGCACTTGGGCAGTGTAAGGATACTCTGCGGTTGGGCACTGCAGGAATACTTGGTGGTTGGGCACTGCAGGGATACTTGGTGGTTGGGCAGTGTAAGGATACTCTGCGGTTGGGCACCGCATGGATACTCTGCGGGTGGGCACCGCATGGATACTCTGCTGCAGGGATATTTGGTGGTTGGGCACTGCAGCAGGGATACTTGGTGGTTGGGCACTACAGGGGTACTCTGCGGTCGGGCACTGCAGGGATACTTGGTGGTTTGGCACTGCATGGATACTTGGTGGTTGGTCACGGAAGTCAGCTTCCAGTCGGGCGCGGACAACATCTACTTTAAAATCTAATAACCCCACAGCGAGGGTGAGGAACAATCCTTTCCGAGATTTTCTGAGACCTTTTCTGTGGTCGCTTTTAACAGCTAACCATGAAAGCCAAAATCTGGCAAAACAACAGCTGTGAATTTCAGGCATGCCTTGTCGTAAGCCTTTTGGCAGTCCTCGTCACAGCCAAACAGGCCTCCAGGACACCACGAAGGCTGAGATTACTGTAAAAGATTGTAAAAGGGTGGACTATGCCTTGGCATACCACGGGCACGGCCCTCATCATGCATCTAGCATCCCCTCGCCACATCTTGGTTCCAAAGCTTGGGCTGTGCGTTCTAAAAGCTAGCTAGCGCCTACAAAAGGATGATTCGCCAAGCGCAGTAGCTTGTAGGCAGCAACTTGGCAGTAGACTTGTACATATACGCTCCAACTCCAGTTTGTGTACCACACCTACGCAGGCCGCCTTTCTGCGAGTAGTAGACCGCCTCGGCTTTCCTGGGCGTTTGGGTAGGCTTCGGTCAGCAAGGGCATGGCTCTTGGATTTGTTGGCATTTGAACCTTGTTGCGGCTCCTCAAAGAGTCGCTTCCCTTGCTCTACTCATTCAAGGAGAACCCTCGGGAGGTTCTAAGATGGGATCTGAAACACTCAAGCAGTGTGTGACTGCAGAAACAGGAAGCTGGCACTTCTTTGAAGCTCATGCGAAGAGAAACCATGGAGGTCAGGCGCGCCAATCTCGCAGTAAGATGCGCTACAGCAAGTGAGTGTGCAAGCGATCTCAACATATCTCAACTTAACGGGCCTATGCAGGCCTAACCGCATATCTCGATCATTTGACTAATTTTCTAGCCCTCAAACACGGCCCTTCTGGGGGTCTGTGAAGAGCGGGACATCAGCCTACGCGGCACTTCACAGCCAAGTCGCTGCAGCTCAGCCATGGCCTGCTGCCCCAGTTCACGACTGTCAATGACCTCTGCTTGCTGCAGCATAGTGCTGTACCTCAGTGGCCACACGCAAGGTCTGCGGTCAGTTTCAGCTGTTTGAATAGATGCTCTGGACACCTGTCTTGGGTGGGGTTTGTGGACAATTTGTCCATGTGAAAAGCCCCTCTTCTGTCATGTTTACTGCAGCCTTCACAAGCCTTCACTGTTGCCAGGAAATCCCTAGTTTGAACAGGTGTGCCGTTGTTCCTACCACCACCAACATATCCTGCTTCTCATCATCGTCACCTTATAATCAAGAACGCTACGGTTCTTGCTCCTGCAACACTCGTTGCAATAACGGTCAGCCTTGCCATTCCTATGAATGAGACTCCTTCTACTTTTTTTTTTTGATGGGGAAGCCGCCCATGTATACAATCTGATGCCACTCTGTCTGCTGTTCCAGTTGCGCTTCCTCTGCAACGCTGTCCTGAGCTGCCCGGCAAGTTACCCTGGAATTTGAACCATCAAGCAGCGTGAAAACCTCAAACCTGCTTTGCCAGTAGCTTTCACAACAGCATTTCCCTTAACGTAGCCCAACAATTCCAATGACGTCAGGCTGACCTATCCACTCCTGTCAAACTTCGAAATTCAGAAAGGGTCCTTAAGCATTTGATATTCAAAGAAGACGCATGGATTTTCAGCGTGACCTGACACGCCTTGAAAGAAGCGTGCAGGCGGACGCACGCCAGCGTTCCAGACGCACTTTGTGCTCAAACTGCTTCAGGTTGAGGCAAGTGCATGCCCGCACAATGATCTGTGCAACGTTTAGGGCTGCCTAGTCTTGAGAGCCGAGAATGCTAGATGTTGGGTTGCTAGCAAGAAGACGTAACAATGTAGTTGTAACATGCCCCTGCACAGGCAGAAGTCTTAAGCATTCAGCTTCGGGCGTTCACAACTCTCTGCCCAGCATCCACAGGCAGTCCGCCAGCAAAGGCGGCGATCAAAAGCCCGATCACCCAAAAGGACACCAGCGCCGGGCGATTCATGACGATACCCTGCAAGCTGCTTTGGAAGACTTCTCATCTTTAGCATCACTGGCACATCGGGATCCCAGACTTGAAAGTAGTGTTTCTTCTCACTGCGCAAGGTGTAACTGCCTTTATCAAATGCTGACCTCGCTCAGTGGAGGGTTGGACCCACAACACCCTAGGCCCCTACAACAACCCACCGTGAACCAGTTGCACAGTTCACAAGGAAAGGCCATGCCAAAAGGATTGCAAAATTACACCGCTCTTTGAAGGATCATGAAGAGATATACAAGCCAATACAAGATGCACTGCAGTGAGAAGGCTCGTGCTCCACTCGGACCATCCTCTTTTCATTCCGATGCCCGCTGCTCTCAGGTGAAAGGGCCTGGAATACGTTGGCTTCAAGTACAGAGACGGCTTCAAGTCAGAGCTGGAACGATCATGGCACGCTCGGCACTCATGGCCCCTATGCGGCCTACGCTTCCATGGTTTGTCCTTGCGACCACAAACACAGCCACAGCCAGCTGTGCACAATACACGGCAACGGCGCCTACGCCTACATCCCTCAGGAGCTCCATCAGTAGGGGGCGGAGGTGGCGGACCGGCAGATGGCACCACAAGAGTATCCGCATCACGATGCCCACTCGCAATGAGGAGCTGCTGAAGGTCATGCCCTTCGATGGTCCCCAGGAAAGCTCGAAGCAACTTCAGGCGCACTTCAAGCGGCAATGCTTGGCATGTAGACTGCAGTAACGGGGCTGGAAGCTCAGCGACCCGCAGCAACAGCAAGTGCGGCGGCACCTGCGAATAAGACACAGCCATTGCGTCAAACAGCAGGAATGCTCTGCGTAGTTGCGCTGCCCAGCAAAAGAAGGCTACGCGCAGTACTCGCAATGCTAAACAATGGAAGCAACCAAGTCAAAGACACCCATTGTGTTGCAGACGGTTGGACCCCATTTTCACCGCTCGGCGATGCTTTACGGCAACCTCGATGGCCGAACCGCAACACAGGATCTCGAGCTGTTCTACGGCAACCGCAATGGCCGAACCGCAGGTACAAGTATCACGGCAGCCGCAATGGCCGGACCGGACCAACCTACAGGGTGAAAAGCTTGGCCACTGCTACTGGTGCCCTTGCGAGGCACTTGCGGCATAGTTTACGGTCTTCTCCTATCTCAGCCCCATACCCTCTCTCAGCGTGCATAGCATCAAAGGGGATATCCCTGCACCATGGGACAAGCAGGCTACCAGCTTGGCGCTGCAAAATGTGTGCCGACCCTTTACTCTGCTGAGCAAACCATGCTGCAGATGGTGTGTTCTCGACATCACTAGTGCCTGAAGATGAGCTACCTGAAGAGGACTCCTCATCGTCATCTGAAGCTGCACTGGCAGGTGCTTCTGGTGATGCTGGAGGGGCAAGGGACTGATCTTTCGCAACCCAGGTAGGGGAGGCAAGGGATTGCTCGACCTGCTGGTCGCTCACACGGGTTAAGGAGAGGTCGGCCCACTCTGGGGCCCTAGGCTTGAGCTCCTGAACGGCCAGGTTAAGGTGCACCAAGGCCCTGAGCTTGGCCATCCCGGCAGTGGTAGATTTGACCTCCGAATACCTAATCGGCATCCGAGAACCCGTTGAGAACCTATCTTTCTTGCCCTCACTCACTCCCTCCGTCCAGTTGCCTACAGCAAGCCTAGACTCCCAAGGCGCCCCTTGGCAATCAAGAAGAGTCGGCATGAACCTACGGAAGGAGTAGGAAGACAGGCTCACTGTCTCACTCTCGGGAACGCCTAACGCCAGGAAAAGGCAACGGCACAAGCCACAAAATTTTGGCCTGGACATGGGCCGGGCAATCTTAGGGGTCCCAGGCTCTAATCTACCCGTGGATGGCAGATTCAGATCCGGAACGATAAACTCTGCATCCGGTAACGAGACACAAAGCTCGCCATATTCCAGAAGAAGCACAGCACTAATGTCAACCCCTGGTGCCACACATGCTGGGGATCCCCACCGGAATGGCTGTTGGACTCCTTGTTCCTTACGTTTGCCTCTTCTGCACAAGGCGTGCAGAACCTGACCATCGCAGGACAATTGACATGACCGTTGCAGGTGGGCAAACCTGAGGCAAGCAGTTAAAAATAAGAGCACCCACGCCATAAAGGCTCGCACCGAACCAGTAGCTGCCAGGAATCTCGAGCATAGTGTAAGGAAAATGCACAACGCCAATGGTGTTCTCTGCTTAGATGCATGGCCTTCCGGAGGAGACGCCCACATAGCCACCAAGGGGTCCGTGATAGGGAGAGGAATTCCCAGGGAAGAGCCCCACCACTTCAATGCCTGAAACACATTAACTGAAGCTGTTGGCCCTCCTTTGGCGACCTCGCGCAGAAAGGCTGATAAGGTAAGGGCGGAAGGTTTCCAATACACACAATCAGCTGGACCCCAGCAATCCTTATATCTAATCCAGCGGCGCATTGCTGACATCAGAGCAGTCAATCTGGCATCCGATACCTTGTCCAGCAATCGATGAAACAATGGCAGTGCCTCCGCGCGAAGCTCCAACTCTCTGGGCGAGAAACGTAGGTTACTAGACCCAGTCGCCAACACCACCTCAAACATGGATTGGATCTGCTGACTGCGCCTGGAAAACTCAGGTGGCTGCTTGCGAACAGCTACAACACCAGGCAGCCTTAAAGAGCACGGCTTCGCCTGTAACAAAACAGGTGGCATCGCTCGCTTCTTCGGCCGCGTCTCCGGAAAGCATGGAGTATGTGACTGTGCAACCACAGGCTGTGCTAATGAAGTAGACTCCAATGCACGAACATAGCTCATGTTAGCCAGCTTCCACGCTCGCACCATCTCGACAGCAATGGAAGGATCAACCACAGCTATAACTTCAGACTCGGCAGCCCAAATACAAGCCAGATCGGCATCAGTCTTCACACCTAGGCCCTGCAAAGTCGTCACACCTGCATCGCTCAAACATGCA